TTCTTTCACTTATTGCATATCCAGTAGAAATGCTTTCTACAGCCTGTAGAATCCCGGTGCTACTTTAAAAATGGCTTTTTTTCCCCCTTACTCTAAACAAATTGTCTGCTTCAGATATTTTTTATCAGCTTTTATCAGCTTTTTTTTATCAGATTTTTTTTTCAGATTTTTTTTTATCAGCTTTACTTTTGGTGAACCCAGAAGCTGCTAATACAGGAATCAATGCAATAAACTATACTGGTATGCTCAAAACATAAAACCACATACTATGAAGATGCTTATAGGAATGCTTGCCAAAGGAAAAAATGCAATAAAAGCCTCATATACTAAGTATTGCAGTTTTCTTCCTTGTCAGAATTCCTTCCTAACTGGAATATGGATACCACATATTCTAGTATTTTGCTCTTTTGTCCATTTTATTTTTTCCCAATGCTTAAAAGTTTTCCTCTAGGCTACAGTGTGACACAATATATTTGTGTAAGAAACATCCTATGTATGTGACTAGGGTGGAAATCACAGCAGCGTGCATCAAATCTTCCCTTGATCAAGATCAGAAAGACTACCTCTAAACTCCCTTCCTCAACTATTCAAGGACATAGGACAAGGCAACTGGCTCATATAGAGGAGGGCTTATCTGCAGACTTGGTATTTCTTGTTCAGCAAGCTGGTTCTGGGAAGGTTTCTGGGAAGGTTCTGCTTGGTTTCAGTTACGCTACAGTCTTCTTCCTTCCTTACTGCTGCTTTGGGCTTTGGCCACACAAGGTTTTATATATAAGGTTTTACATATCTGCGTTTATACCATTAGCTGTGCTAAGCATAACCAACCTCTGTATTTAGCCCATAATTTGGCACTATTCTTTGGTACCAGATTTACAAAGCTTTCCTACAGCAACATGATATACTGTGAACAGAAATGGAATAAAACAAAAAGTAAAAAATTATGATTTCAGAAAGCATTCAATCTGATATATTCATTATCTTTCATCATTATTGTTGTTTGAAAATTATTTCATATTGTTCATCCATATTTTCATATTTGAACTACTTTCTTAAATCATAATGTTTTGTGTGTATTTGGTGACGCTACTGCTAAATAACTATGCATGGGCCAAAATGCTTGGATGATAAGTGCAAGTACACAACAAATGGTAACAGCTAACCAAGAGCATGCTGTGTTGGCAACAACATATTCAGCATAACATCAAAAACCTTCCAGTAAAGGCCTTTCTTAAGAGTTAAATGAGCAAGTATCCCAAATTTGCTTATGAAGACATTACTGTTTGCAGCCTTTCTTTCAATGACTGTTGAATTATTTTCCTTTAGAAACTGTACATAAAGAACTCAAACCAGACTTTGTGACTCGCAGAAGGCTGTTTGTCAAGTAAAAATTTACGTTACACCAGTATATGAGAAGACACATTCATAACTAGAAATCCCTTTACAGTATTTTACAAAGATAACATGAAACGTAAAATTGAATCTGCACTTCTGATTACGCAAACATTTTAGACCAGATTTTTCTATGGAAAAAATATAATTTAAATTCAGTAGTCTAATTATATTAATTAAAAATGCATTAAAAGTGTAAGTAAATGAAATAATGTATCTCCAGGGCAGAGCGCACAGATAGACTGTGAGCAGTGAGTAACCTGCCCCTAATATGAAGAGCAGACAAGCACAGCAAGTCTAAAGGATGAAAATATTCTTAACCTCAATAATGAATGCGCTGGCATTTCTAGCAAATCATTAAATAGTTCAACATTGCTCTGAAAAGAGAACAGGCGTTAGCTACAACATCTCTTTGCTAGCACTAGTTCAGTACGGCAGCGCTTGCTCTAGCACAGCTCCGACTAGGACACAGAATTGCCTCACCTGGACCTGTCTCAAACACATCCTCTGAACTCTTAAAACCAGACAGGCCCTCAGCACCAACCCGGACTTTATATGCTGTTCCTGGTGTTAAACCCTTTAACACAAAGAAGCTTCGAGAACCATTTACAATTTCTTTTTTCCAATCTTCTTTGCCTACAAAAATTTTAGGAAAACAACATGTTGGAATTTTAATTTTCTATGTATTACTGTACGTTTATAGACAAGATACTATCAACAGTTAGTTGACTAAACTATTGTCTGAAAGAAGTAATTAATCTCTCAAAAAATAAAATCTTATATAAAATTACACATCTGAATAATGTATTGCATGCAATATCAAAAAAAACATTTTACAGGAATTATAAGAATTATTTTAAACATTTGTTCCATTGTACTATGGAAATATTATTTTATTCTATTTTCTTTAAAGTCTTATTGAATTTTCAATTATAATAAACATGAAAATAGATTTTAATCGCTTAATTAGGTAGTATTATTCATTATTAGGTAGAGTCAATATTTATTTTGCTTGACAGATTCTGCTTCAAAATCTGAGCATATCTTATTTCCTCAACATTGTCTTGTATCTTTTTCTAATAAAGTCTCAGGTGCTTCTTTGTACAATATGAAAAAAAAGTATTTATATTCCAATCCTCAGACTGACTATCTTGAATCATGATTTTAGAGGGATGGTGTATTTGAGTAGAAGTATCTTGGTTTTATTAACTAACCTTCTGTGTTTTAATGATTAGTAGGAGTAAAATTTAAAAAAAGGTATTATCAAAAATCAAAACTTTATTTTTACATCAATAAAAGTATGCAAGTTAGTTTATTTGTTAATTTAATTATGATAATTGTTTCAATTCGCTCCTTTATTTATTTTTTTACTGAATTGGATATAATTTAAGAGGATCATTATATCCTGTTTTATTAATAAGAATTTATATTTTCATACCTGTAATCAATCACTGAATAATAAACAACTTAAAGCAATTTGTATCTTTACAAGTTCATGTTCAAAATAATTGAAACAATAATACAAAGGAACAAAGACTGACTTTCTATCTAAGTATTAGACAGCTGCTACACATTGATGTTTATTATAAAGAAAATTATTTATATCTACCAATAAAATTAAAAAAAAAATCACAAACACTGGAACAACTTAGGACCACATTTACCACTAAAATATTTGAAAATACTTCTGAACACTTAGAATAATTTAATGAAATGACTTCTTACTGCCTGCTACACCATATTCAATATAAAAGTTCGCATGATCTGGTCCCTCATACTCCCAACTGATATTGGCATAGGTCTCAGCAGCAGCTGTTGTAACATTTCTGATCCTTGGGTAAAGTGGTTGCACTGAATACACAATAGAAAAACAAAGCAGAATATGAAATTGTGGCTTCATATTAAAAAAAAAAAAAAACTACCATGCTGATAGGCAGGGAAAGTAAAGTATATTCATCATTATTGGTTCTGTTTTGTTAAATTAGTGAGTAAATTAGCATATATGGTAATGGAATCATAAACAGTTACTGTACTATGAAATTAGAAAGTAGAATCTCTGTAGTCTACTGAGCATGCCCTAATCCACCAAGATTGCCGAATACCTAAAAATCCTAATTGCCAAAATTCTGCAAAGCATTATTTTTGTTCATCTCAAAGCAAAATACACACAGCTGAAAACATTCTTAGGGTAGCAGCAAATGGTGGGCGAGAACGGAGGTATAAAGGAGGTACAGTCCTCCCTGTATTCCAAGGGTCACAGAATGGATGCAAAGCTCTCATCTGCAAGCCCTTCACAGGATTTTGTCTCTACTGTATTGGTAAGGATAAAAAAGGAAGACAATACCCTTATAGAATGTTGGACGGACAATATGCATGACTGGGGAGGTTGCAAAAGGGGTTTCTGAATATCCTTCATCATCAGAGATAGTAGGAAAGAAAGAATAAAAGAATAAAAACACTTTACATCGGAAAGTAACATTTAAACAACACAGTAAAACCTTACCTGTTAAGTGAATAACACATGCACACTCTAAGTTCATGCAGGAATCAATCAGCTCTACGTGTTCAAATATGAAATGGCCAAATGATACACAACTACTCAAAAACAAACTGAAGTTTGTGTGTCCTTTTACAGAGCAGTCCTGAAATTTGCTTCATTAACACTAGGCATTCACTGCATCTTAAGCAATCTGTTGCCCACCCGTGGCTCCCTCGAAGCCAAGATATCAAATTTACTCCTTTAATGTTTTACTTCTGGCATGGAGATCATAAACCACTTTGAAGAGCAAATGGTCTTAGGTAGACACTATATGCAGAGGAGGAAGGGGTTAATTAAGCATGGAATTTTATTTCTTGGCTCCAGAAAATTAGCTGAAATGTGGTAACTCTAAAAGCAGGGTTACTAATGTTATGAATATTTGTGTGGTAAGAATTTTTTCTCTTAAACCATATTTTCAAATCTCCATTTATTCCAGAGATCATTTTTAGTGCTCAGGCTTCAGTACCTGCCGCAAGTATAAGAATACTAATTGAAATCTCAGTCAAGCATGGAAACTGAGAAAATGATGATAAACTAGACCACTTCTTATTTACTATCAATGTTTTTCCAGTAATATAAACTTTAAATACAGGATTACAGACCCAGAATTTCAAAGGGTCACTTTTATTCATTCTTATTTTGTGTGTACATATAGTTCAGATATAAATAACGGTTTTGTGATTGATATGAGTGACACCATTCAGAAAATACTAGCATTTTAAAAGTTGTGTTTTGAAGACTGGAATTCTCAGCTAAGATTGCTTAAACCTTCTCCCAGAAAAAAATTATTAAATGCCTGATTATTAAATTAGGCCATGAAAAACTGATCTGAGTGTCAAAAATCTCAGGTACAGATAACTACACTGTTGATGTAACTGATGATTAAAGAAACAAAACAAATTTTTGAGTTATGACAAGGAAAAAAGCTAATAAAAATAATAAAATTAATTTTAAGTAGATTAAGTTTGTAAAGATCCTGTTTCATCTTGCTGATGAAAGCTTATCTTAAAAAGTAGTAATGGTAAAAGATTTGGAAAGCCAGTATCAAAATATTCTGACTTAGAGGATGCAAACCATGGGAATGCAAAAAGATCTGTATTCTAAGGTAACGTGTCATTAATATTTTCTTTTCACAACGGTATTTTACATAAATATGCGTAATGTCTGTATCTTCAAAAAGTCTAATAGTACTGAAAATAGATTTTAGTAGGTCTGTGCACATACAAAGGGGATATTCCTCAAAGGACAAGGCATAAAATTATTTTTAATGGAAATGCCTCCTTACTGTAACACTGAATCACAGCAGACCAGTGAGACACATAGTTGTCACCCGCATTAAGGTCAAAAAAAGCCATTAGCCATAATGCAACTCTTGCACAGAAAGGACCCAGAACTCCGTCTAACATCTCCCTCTGCAAGCCCAGGCACTTGCAGGTGAAATAAGCCACTTTGTCTTGTGTAAAAGACTCATCATAACACACAGCTGCTGACACGGCCTGCTAAGTTGTTCCAGCAAATAACCACAGATTGTTCCAGCAAATAGCTACTTTCCCCGTGAAAAAAATGCATCTTAGCTCCATCATTTTTCTCTTAATTAAGATTTCCAGGTTCTTCTCTGATTAAATAGTCATCTGAGAGATTAAAAATCTAGTGGATAGTAAATTTCTTTTTGCTTAAACAACTTGTATACAAGTTGGCTCTGAAAATTTTCTTAATTCTGCTGGGGTCTGAATTTCCAAATCCTCTCAAGTGGAGTTATGCTTATGTTTCCCAAGAGCACTCGTACCTGATTCTTACCAATAGCTGTTGTACTGTTATCTTTGTGTAACAGTCAAAATTAACTTCTATTTTTTTTCTTATTGAAGACAGTATAACAAAGAATTTGTTCAGCAGCACACAGGTCTGTTACTTTTTCAGTACTAATTGGTCTAATTTTTCCCACAGGCCTGGAAATTTTGGTTTTTAAGTCTGTCGCCTGTGTCCAATTTGCAACATGATCTGTGACACATCTAACATAAGAACACACGATATCATAACATGGCTGATCGATCCTGAGGTGACGAAAGCCTAAAATCAAAGCAGTTATATTCAAAGCCTGTTGCAAATCTATCTTGTCTTCTCAAATTAATTACACCTCTAATTAAAGATAACCTTTTCTTTCTTTGATAACTTTCCTACCACTCTTCACACAGGCAATGGAAGCTCTCGGTGTGCAAATACCAGTTGTTAAAAGGCAAAAGAGCTGCGTATCTGGGATAAGTGCCTTTTTTTTTTTTTTACTGGAAAAGCACTATGCTCTCTAGATTTTTAACTATACAATGGTGCTGCACTGTATTACTGACCAAAGATTGACTCTAAAAAGCTGGGACTAGATTGTTAATAAATTTCCATTTTAAAATAATTTTCCATTTAAAAAAAATGAAAAAGAAAGAAAGAAAAGATGTTTTAACCACCTGTGATGCAAAGTGAAATTTAGTTGCTATCTCTGAGCATGGTTTAATTCTGATAGTGAGAAGCATTTGTCAATTGTTGAGAAAGAGACCTAGGTGCAAGGTAATGTTTTTCTTTCTTATTTTTCTTCTTCTTTTTTTTTTTTTAAAAAAACTAATTTCTAGGCTTCCATATATTTGCTTTTTAATCTACAGTTTTTACATTACAAAATTCAAGCTTCAAGAAAAGAAAACAAGAACTAATTCCATTTGTTGGCATTAAGAGATGGTGACTAGTCAGCTCTTGAGATTATGTAAACCACTGCAGAGCTTCACTTCACAGAGACAAAGGAGTGATACCAAAACACTATAATCAACTTGAAAAGAAGAGGAAGGTTGAACTTGATAGAGAAAAATGTGGAGACACTATGTGAAATGATTCAAAGCAGGAGGCAAATCCCCATCTTTAGCAGGAAAATGGTTTGAAAAAAGCATTTTGTATGGAGCAACTCAGATGATCATGTCTTTTACTAAGACATCTGAGGTATGATCTCATCTGAGAATGATTTCCAGTCTATAGAAAAGAGTATGTATTTTACACCTGGAAATTCTGCCAAAAAGAGAATTGTTTCAATCATCTCATAAGCCAGACAACTTGAGCATTTTTTTCATTGCAGCAAAAGCATTTCTTTCAATAATTGTTAAGATATTTCAATAATTCAAGATATTTCGATAATTCTTAATATAAGACCAAAACAAGTGCCATTACCATTTTGACTGAAAGTGCTTGTTTCAGTTACAGGCAATTGGGATTTCACAACATTTTAATCACAGTTCAGAACTGTCAGTTATTCCTGTCTGTGTGTGTACAGACTACAAGAAATTTCTTTCAAGTAAAAACATGGCCTATGTGAAAAAAGAAACCAGATACTGAAAGAAGGAAGTTTGTTATATATACATATTGGCATGAAATTATACAGGCACAACTCCCTACACTTCGGCTTATAAAAAGTGCCATAATGAGTATTTCAGTCAGCTTTCACTTCTGTCACTGGTCTCCTCTCCATTCTCTTCCCTCCTTTACAGTCCATAAAAATTCTGAGGTAAGAGAGTAGGAAAGACTTGACTCTAGTGATCACCCCAGTCAGTTTTGAGATACTTCTATAATTATTTGCTACTTAACTAGTCTCTCACTTCCTAATTTCTTCTCTCACGGCTGTTTTCTCATGCTTACTGTCAGACATGTCACTGGTAATACCAATGCACACTGCTTCTGCAGTACTGCATATAATGCGTGAAGTCTTACCTAGTTTGCAGGCACATACATTTAGAATACAAGTCACTAAATTCTTTTTTGTAGAGACATAATTTGAATGTTTTCAGTCATGTATAGACTCACAGTGTCAGAAAAGGAAGTGTAAACTGGAGTATAAACAGAGTAACGGGGAATCTGGTCCGTGTTCAGTAAAATAGAACGTCTCATGATTGATTAACCGATACGCTTGTGGGAGAATGATACGAATCTCACCTGTGCCATTAAGTTTCCCTAATATGTAAAGCCTAAGACTAAAAATCAATTCTTTATAATTTGCAGAGATCCAAGGCATTTCTGTCATTTGATGCAACAGCTTTTCCAGTTCAAAGAACCTTTCAGTTAGGACAATGACCACCTTAAAGGCAGACTTGTTATCTTTTCCCTCATTTTCTGCAGTATTTTGTCCTCCTAAGTTTTATTCTAGGCACAAGAAGAAACGATTCCTTTGTCCAAGTTTCTTATTCTTGTCCTCGTATTCCACCTTTTCATCTAAAATGTCTATTTTATTTTATGGTAAAAATGCAACAAAGCTTGCATCTCTACTTACTGATCTAGAATATTTGGTGATCTTTAGATTACCTACCTCAGGTCAGTCTTTATGATCAGAAAACTCATCTAGGGCTATTGTTAATAATATCAAGTGTAGCAGTCAGCAGTTTTTAGTTATTTCATCATTTTTAAAGTAACAAAAGAGTAAGTAAGTGCACTGGCGAGGGACAGGAGAAGAGGCACTTCTGTCTGCACATATAGTGCCAAGAAACAGGGAATATATTTCAGGACTACAATAACAATTCCGAGACACCACAAGATTCTTAGGAGAATCTATGTATGTTATTTGCCTTTTTCAAGTTCCGTACTTAGCCCAAGCTTAAATGATTTGAACTCTTCCAGGACCTTGTTTCCATCTGTAGGCTGTCAGAGAGGCAGGAGCCAGCAGACAACACCAGCTATAGAAATTTGGATTGAATTTTGGCTGTCTGAATCTGGATCCTACTGACTTCTTAACCTCCAGAATGAAAGATCTCAACTTGCAAAAAGAAGGGATAACTTCATTGTTCTAGTAAGTCCAGCCCTTCAAAAACAAGATGATGTTTTTGATAAATTACATAATAGTCGTGAACATCTAAATTTCATATTCTGTTTGATCTGGTTTTGGGTATTAATGAGAACTGACTATCAAGTGCTGTGCTGCACTTGACAGAGGAGGAAAAAATCCCTGCTGGATATGACTTCTTAAGTGGGCTGAGTATTTCTGCCTTTCAAACCCACCCACTCATGGGACCAAATAATTTGGCACTTGATCTTGGTAATATGATCCTCCTTTTCCTTCCTGGTAGTCCCTGATCAGTAGCGAAATAGTTAATCATAGTGACATGAGTAACCACTGAGAACATTCATCTGAAAACTGAAGCAACTCAGATGTCCTAACAGATGTCATGGCTTTGCTTCTGTTCTGCCTACTGTTACAAAGTTTTCATTGAGAATGTAAGAGCTAGACTCTTAAAGGAATACATGAAATTTTGAAACCATAAATGGAATGGAACGAAAAGAAAACATCTGTTTACGTTTTCAGAGAACCTCAACTGACAGCTCTGAAACATAAGCTGCTCCAACTGATCTTACAAATAAGATGCTTCCTTTTAACTGTGGACTGTGATACAGCTATAATTAGACCTCAGTTTCACATTTCCATTTGTGAAATGGAAATCCATTTTCCTTGCATGAGGTTTTATAGCTAGCTACAAAGGATAAGAAATTAATTCTCATTTCTGTTACAATGTCCAAGGCTACAAGCCAGTTTGATTGGTCTGTGATGACCTGCCAGCTACACGGGCTAATTAAAAAGCAGTAAGAAAGACTTGTCATTAAAAAAATCTACAACCTCGTACCCCTACCAGAACTGTTTTATAATATTCTGATATTAGAATGTCCTTATATTCACGTATAAATTTGTACAAAACATATTTACACATTCTGTATATACATATCTATATACACATACACATACATGCACACATGTATAGTTTGACTTTGCCTATGTGAATGAAAGTTTTAATGAAAAATATTTTAATTTATTGAAATTCTGTTATTCAAAATAAGTGGGAAATATATGTATAATAAAATTGATGCTGTCTCTTTCAAGTTTGTCAAAATGTCAGATGGGATACTTTCATGCACAGATATAGATCAAGATTTTTACAGACTGGGAATCTGAAATATGGATTTTCATAGGTGTTAATGACACCTGTGTGGCAAAATGACACATTAACACACATATCAAGACAACTTTCTGGCGTATAACTACTTAAATATTCTCAGGACTATCTTTGTTTCTAACAATAGTGCATAATAAGTGTGTGCACCATATGAAGAATATCAAATTTGACAAAAGAACTGCATCATAAAAGCCTGAATATTACTAAAGCCAAGAAGAAATATAATAATAACTTTCAAACAATGAAAAATTGTCAAGTGCACATTCACAAGATTCGTGAACCTAAGAAAGTGAGCAGGAAATCTGCCTGTGTATTCAGTTTGATATTGGAATTGCAAAGTGCACAGAGGGTGTTGTCAGTCATCTGCCTCCTATGCACAGTTGTCTTATAAATGAAATAAATGTGATCAAATGGACAGCATTAATCAGCAGCGAGAACAAGAATGCACCTACTTCTAGTGCACCTAGTGCTAGTGCACCTAAACCTTGAATATTTATGACAGTGACATATATCTATTGAATTTTATATCTATTATATCTATTTTGATATTTCCTCTAAATTTTGAGGAAAAAATAGATTTTAGTGAAAAAGCTAATGAATTCCCCTGGAACTTTGTGGCAAAATAAACAGATGAAAGGTATTAAGAAGTATTTTGGATTTTTTTCACAATTGTGTCCTCCCAGTACTGATTAATACTCCATAATCTAAGATTTCCTCTCCTTACCACTGCAGCTTCCCCATTTGCAACACTGCAAAAATCCACACATTAACAAATCATGCAGTTTTATTTTACCTTTGCCTGCACCTATAGCAGGACGGAGAAAACCAGCTTTAACGGAGGAAAATAAAAATAGGAACACTATATGATTAGATACAACACCAAAGGAACATACATATTTAATTTCATTATAAATCATAAAAGCATGCAGACTAAATAAAATGTACTAATTCAAATAAATTAGAAACAATACACTTATGCCGAACATTGACAGACTATTACATGACAAGAAGTTAATAAACATGCATTTATTAAACTTTATTTTCATGCTTGTTAAGATTCATGGTTTAAAACAAACAGAGTTCATATACAACCTTATACACTATTAGAGAATTCGTGCTTCATATCAACCCCCCATGGCAATTGTAATAATCTGCAAACTTACTAACCATAAAAAAGTATGCAAAGATGGTAACAAAATAGACTTTTAATATTGAGAAGTGCAAAATCATAAAAAATTAACTCTGCAAATTTCTCCTTGAATTAAATTACTATTATTTAATTTTCATATTTAAATAAATAATATCTTCAAAACAAGAATTGCCAAAATCTCAGATGTGGCTACAACTGTAAAATTCAACAGTGATAAAATCAAACACCAAAATTGAGATTCTTTAAACATTATACAATGTCCCCAGCTCCTTGAGGCCTTAGATGATAAATTTATTACTGCAATTTTTCAAGTTACTGACAGCTCTGCAGCAAAGTTTTAGAACTTAAAAAAGCTACTGCATACTTCAAAAGAGAAATAATTTCCTCAACCAGCCATAAAGTTGCATCGTTTTGTGATTTTTCTCTGCGGCCAGAAGAGGTCATTGAAGGAGAATAGGTGAATGCCTTACTTAAAAAGTACAGTTACATGAAACAAATTGAAAGTTTCTGGATAGCTAGAAAGCTCAGAAAAGGCACAGTCCTAGAACTTGTAAGTTTATATTAGGTGAAGTGTTACACCTCTTTTGTGCTTCCACTGCAGTAGAAGACCTTTGCACATCTTTTCTTAAAATTGATTTAAAATTTTTCAGTAATGCACACTAAAGTTGAGAAAGCTCTAGAAAAACTTTTAACAGGGACTCAATGTACTCTCCTCAATGTATCAAAAAGAGTAACATTTTCAAAAAAAAAACAATTTTTTAAAACTCACTGGATTTTCTTTATACATACCCATCTTACCTTCATCCATAATTGTTACTGCTTCCTCAGTTATCTGACTTCCTGATCCAACTGATGTTTGTGCATTAAAGTAAAACTTGTATCGCGTGCTGTAATTTAAGTTTTTTAATATCAAGCTGCTTTCGTTGGCAGGAATTCTTATCTCTACCAAAGGACCTAATTCATGGGTGTTGTTAACTGTTATTACGAGAAAAAAAGTAGAGTTAGAAAAAAATACCACTGTGTTTAATCATGCTTCAAATTTTGATTTTGTTTGCTGCATTGTTCATTTCAGATTATATAAATGATGATTTTCAATTTCCAAAGAAAGCCATGTCTGGGGCACATAGGATCTATGCAAGGGGCAAAAAATTAACATGGAGACAAGAAACACCTACATTTTTTTTAAGCTCTAGTTCCACTCTTGCAGGAAATGCATGCAGAGAATGTCCAAGGATAGGTCAAAATTTGGACACAGATGATAGCACAGGTGTTCAACACTAGATATTTGAATCCAGGATAACTAGGTCCAGGTAAAATCATACAAACTAATGCACTTTCTAAACACTGATGATTAATGACTCTGAAGTAACTGTCCAAGAATAAATTCAGTTATGTTTTCTGACAAAAGTATTGACATGATTTCTATCTTAAGCCAGAGGAAGCTGGTAAGTGGGAAAAGAACACACAGCCATGTAGGGAAGACTCATGATTTCAGCTGTCACTGCTGACAATATGCTGGGCAGGGCAATTATATAGTGGCATGTAGATTCTAAGGAAGTGACCAGCTGAACTGAAATAATGCACATTTTAATTTAAAGTCACAACATTTTTGGCATCAGCAAATGACCCTGTGATCAAGGATGCTTGATCTTCTTTATTATTTTTTTTATTTGAAAATTAAAACATTATGAAAATTGGAGAAGCAGGCAGCAAAAGAATCAAATGGATTTTGTTCTAGTTTTAATGGTATTTTCTTTGCAGATAAAAGGTAAGCTTTACCAGTGATGGCATCTTGCTTCTAACTTAGTTGTTAACTATATGTAGGAATTCATCTCCTTATTTTCTGTGAAGCATGGTTTGAAGAAATAGAAAAATTCCAACCATGTACATGAGCATGTGAGGTTTTCCAAAAAGAATACCCTAATCCTTAATCTTTTCAGAATTAACCTCTATAATGCAATTTATAGAAGTATAAAATCTTTTGCACATTATAAAGTTAATATGATTTCTTCTTAAATGGATTATTTGGTAGGCTTATAGTCCAAGGCAGATTTATAGATTTTTTTATTAACTTACTTGGCTGAAACTTCAGTATATATGATGTCAAAATACCATTTGGATGAGTAGGTGAACCCCACTCCAGAGTTAGAGAGTCCAGTGTTGGGTCAGTAATCTTCAAAAAGGAGGGTGAGCTGGGAACTTACAAGAAGAATATATAGTAAATGCAAAGTAGATGACCTTAAAACAGCTTAAAATATTATTAATTATTAATGACTACATTAAGAAAGATTATTACTTTATGATTTCTAAGATGCAAATCAGCAATTACATTCTGTTTCTGAATATATCACACAAGTTGACTCTCTGGCTTTCTCATTTCATACCTCCTTCGGGGGTCCTAAATACTTTGTCTGGGCTTGCTGGTCCTTCTCCTTTGCCATTAACAACTCTAACATTTAGCTTGTAAGAACTATAGGGCTCCAGTCCGGGCAACATTCCAAAAGTCTTGTTTCCCCTGAAAGTCAAGATCTTTTTTTCTACATGCCTCCTACTCCTTCTGGATAGACTCTGCACTTTCCAGTAGTAAACCTAAGGACAAAAGAAAATCTACATGAGAATAGAGGTGTTTCAATTATGCATATTAAAAATGCCAAAAATATCCATGAATTATACGCAGGAAGAATGGAAATTTTAATAAGCTGGGGTAAAAGCAGCACAGACCTTTATAACTGCAAAAGTAGACCTTGTCCAGAAAGAGTTATGTTTAAATGACTGGATGAAAATTAGTACTTGTCTGATCTGCTTATGATCAAAGTCAGTTTGATAAAATTTCTGGTTTGAAGAAATTGTACCTGATGGTTCTAATGCTAGCAAGTGCATCTGAGAGGCAGGGGTTACTCAGGCTGTCTGTTCTTGCTCTATGGTGTCTACACAGCTGTTCTACAGCCACCTGCACGCTGCCACCTTGGTATGTGAGTAGATGGCGTGTACCTGGCCATGCAGATGTAGTCCCTGTGATGTGGAAGCCAAGTGACATTCTTAATTATGAAAGAAAGAAAATGATTTCTCTAGCCTGGGAAAAACAGGCTAGGAAGAATATTCTGCTTTTAAATGATCATAAGATCAGAGTAGAATGGTGACTGATTTTGCTGATGCAGTTTCTTAGAAACTCACAGATATTACTGGAACCTCCTTGACAACTCTCTCTTTACCACTCAGTATTCCTACTGTAGATTTTGGAAAGATGTTAGCAGTTGTCTCTAAAAAGATTTGTGTTATTCCTAGAAATGTCACTCTCACATACACCATCAATCATTTTTCACAGGACAATTCTTTGTGTATTTATGAACATGTGATTACACACTAAAACTGGTAAAGTAATATAAGAGGGTATAAGTGGGTTCCATTTAGGTCTTCTGCTTGTGCGCCTTATGCTTTTTTTTCTGTACTATTAATTATCTTTAACAGAAATGTGGTGTTTTGGATTATGGGCATTAGCATTGCTGGACTGAAAATAACCATTAATTCCACTAAATTCTAATTCTTTGATCCTTGCATAATATATGTTCTTTTGGTTATATATTAGGATATATGTATGTGCAACACCAGGTTGACCTGATAGCCTAACCAACCTAACGAGACCTTTTTCTCAGCAAGGTTTACTATCTAGGGCAGAGTACCATGCTAACTACAGACACCTGTGTCAGCTCATACAGAACTGGTGTTAAGCATCTCTCACAGTGATACTTTGTGCCAGATCAGTGCCATACACCCACTGGGAGCTCATGTTCATTTTGTAGCCAGACATTATACACTCAAGTTCAGATTTTCTGTATTTTTCCCTCTCTTAAACTGAGTTTTTTCCTGGTCTTCAAAAGGACAAAACATCCAGCATCAGCCAGAACATGGCTAGTTAGTCACAATTAAACATATGGTTAATCACACAATGCCCAAAGATGAATAATCTTAACATTCAATAGCATTAGACCCAGAAGGGATTCCTACAGAAACTATTTCTCCTCATCCTCTAAATGTCTTTTTGGAAAAAGATCTAAAATACTACCATAATTTTAAATATAATATCTATATAATATACAATATATAATGTACGTATCTATATTATAGATATTATATACATACATACATATAATATCTATATAATATCTTCCAGATTAAATGTAAGCACATCCATTTTTCTTCAATAACAATGTCATAGTTATTGACAGTACAATGTCATAGACTAATACTACAAAATTTGCAGAACTTTAAATGAGATTTATCAATGCTGTTGCCCTTGGCAGTAAAATTTGCCACCTCATAGGAACTCAAGTAGAATCGTCTTAGGTATCAGTTATGTCAATATAGATACAATTCCATCTATTAGATTGATCTATTTTAATACATGAGAACTATAAAGCTCCTGGTTATACTTACCTTGTACCCTTGAAGATGCCCTCGGACAGTTTTTAGTGGAACTGGGTCCCAATGCACCTTTGCTAATGTGCTGTTAAGAACATGAACCTGCACATTGCCTGGAGCAACCATTGGCACTGGGTGCAAAGGAAGTAACAAAAGTCTAGTTAGAATTTGACACCATATGAATATACTTTCTCAGAAAGACTCTTTGCATTTCATTCAAGTAGTTAAAAAATTTATTCCTATTTGATAAACAGTTGACTAAAGGATTAGTACTGCAGTGTCTCATATCTTCAAATTATTTCAATTTAATTTAAAAAATAGCTGTGAACCCTCATTTTCAATATTTCAATATTTTAAAATTGCATATAGGTTCTATATTTAGTTTTTTTGTTTAGTAAAATAGAACCAATCTAGGAAACTTACAGTCTTCCCCTGAATGTCCAATCACCTCTGAAGGCTCTGGAGCATATCCCAAGTCATTTAAAGCCTGTACTTTTATCTCATAGGGAACAAAAGTTGGTGTACCAGACACAATATACTTGGATACATTTGCCACTATAACAGAAGTCCATTCATCGTCAAAATCTTTCTGACGCCAGCTGACTTTGTACTGAAGCCCTGGTCCATTGGACTGAAAACCTTTTAAAGACTGAAATGGAAAGAAAAATGAAAACTGTTTGAAAAGAAGTTTAAGCATCTGAAAAATCTAAGGTCACAGAAGAAACTTTTTTTCACAACTTTAGTGAAAATATATCACTACATTCTATGACCAAGAAACACTGTCAAAAGCCCCCAGCTATGCTATTTAATCTTGACATGAATATAATTCAGTTGCATTTCATTCCTTAGTAAAAAAAATGCTGTAGAATATTTTTGGCCAGCTAATCACCAGGCAACCGTACAGTATGATTTTTGCATAAATATTTTGTTTTCAAATATTTCTCCAGAAGTTAAAGAAGGAGATACAGACCTATACCAACTCCACATAAACCATGTTCCCTAGAGATGGTTTCTCACCTGGGATGGGAAATAGGTTTTATTTGACCCTCATGAGCTCCTGTCAGGACAGTAAGGACAAGACCCAGACATAGGGTCTGTAGCAGAAGAATGCACAATAATTTAGTTTATCAGGAAGGTTGTTCATTCTAAATATAAAATATATTTGAGATAAATCATAATTTACACATTCAATATTTTCTACACTGGCAGCAAAATACACTGTATTATCAAATTAATGACTTGTCTTGGAGAAAACAATAACCACTCAACGAAACTATGGCACCTTGAAAAAAATATTTTCTTTGATAATACATTCAGCTTTTCCCTGGAAGTGAACAAAGGGAAATCTCTGGATTTTTATTCTTTTACAAAAATGTTTCCAACAAGAAGCAAATACAGCTTATCTACCATGGGGTATTCACAGCTACAGCATTATTTTTTTCACTAAAAAAATGTTACTCACAGACTTAAATGCAAAGCAAAGCAACCCAAATCCAAGCTTACCTCCCATGTTATCACCAAATTATCAGGTTCTGAGCCTATCCCTTGTACATTGGAAGGATTTTCGTCAGGGTCTAAAAATTAAATATTTACATGTGAAAAGGATGACTTCTGTGTGTGTTCCAAGCAAATTCAGTGCCATTCAAAGCACAAATCAATCATTTGCAAATGGGAATACTTATTTACTTGCAGCTTTTGTCAGGTATTGCTCAGAGGGTTCACTTGGCTGGCTTCTACCAATCTCATTGACAGCTATCACACGGAATGAATAGTTGACGTACGGAGACAGCTTCAACTGCACTGTTGTCTGAGTTCCAGGAACTTCTGTCTGGTAATGCCATACCCCTGGTTCATGCAGGCCATCTTCATATTCAATAACAAAATCTATGAACGAAAAGCAATTTTATGTCAAAATTTTCAATGCATTTGGAGATACGCATGGCCATTTTTAAATGAGCTTATCAGAATGGAACAATCTCATCAACTTTTTTTAAATGTAAAACTGAAATCCGAGAACAGAAAACTCACACAAAATCTACTGTGTGGGTCTCAAAAGTAGCGCCTAAATGCAAATGTAATAGCAACACTCTTATTTTTATTATTAAGTATTATTATTAGCGTGTCTAACTGTCAAGTAAAACGCTGTTACAAGAATTCTCTCTCAGATACTGGATTTAAATGTAACAGGAACCTGTGAACTATCACAATAAGACAGTGGGACAAGTTTGGATTTTTTATGTAAAAGTAATTTCTGTCAGATACGTTTATTGCTCCTAATTGTATGAAGCTGACAATAAAGTCACCATATTAAAATTACCTAAAATTGCTACTATACCATATTAGAATTATTTGAATATTCCATTTTCCCCAGTAAGATTAGTTAAATAAAAAAAATTTAAAGTCAATAACCAATGCTTGAGGAAAGTTTTTAATGCAGTCCTCAGTACTTTCAAATTAAACCAAGGGGTTCCATTTGGGTAACCAAATTACTTTACTATGATTGCTGTTATGGCCTTGGGCTTCACCCCTCCAGTGTACCTAACTTGAGGGATACGCAGGTTTCTAGAATCCCAGAAAAAAGATCTTTAACAAATAATATTTTCTTCAGCCATGAAAGAGCCAAAAGAGAGTCTTACTCTTAGGTACATGTGACAAAAGTTCTGCAATCCTTAACAAGAGTTAGTAGGATGTAGTAAAGAAAAGCCTGGGGAATGTGCACTGTAACTACATTCCACATAACCTGAAGTTTTGATATTTGAACTTTAGACCAAGAATTGAAAATTTTGCTATATCTCATTTACGGATAGGGACAAGAAACCAGAGTATGCCCTAGAATATATCCTTGTTGCACTGCTAAGAAAATCAAGACGGGTTTCTTGAAATTGTTTTTAGAAGAAAACTGCTAGTGCTATTGAGAAATAATAGTCCACAACTACTTGAGGATCCAAGTTGTTTAAGTAACTACAGGCTTCTGGGCTTCACTCCGGAAAATTTAATCCTGATAAGTGGGAGGAAAGAGATAATACTCCAAACTGCTGTCAGAGTTACAGTAGTTGTTCAGTGCTCACAGATAAATATTTGGGGATACAAGGCTTTCTTGGTGAGACCGTTCTTTGAAAGCTTATATATTTTATATGAATAATAAGAAAAGACCAAACACCATCAAATTTTTCACTCGTGTTGTTTCCCTTGTAACTGGCATGCTGCCTGCAACTGTGGAGAATAATCTATATGAGACAGAGAAAAGATTTCTACCTGAGCTTTCAGAGAAATTCTAGCATGTGAGCTGTGCTATCTGTGTAAAGGGATCATTTATAGTGAAGTGCTATCCTTGAGTCTTGACCTGTATTTCAGGTGATAACTGGAGCAGTAAGAAAGAGGCTTATTTCTGAAGTAAATTTCTTTCTTTCAGGCACTCATGGAACCACAAAGCGATTGGAATTGTACCATAACTAAAAACAATTGTGTAAGCACGAGACAACACCACCCAGTATCATCTCTATAACTAAAAACAATTGTGTAAGCATGAGACAATATCTCACTCCAGTACGAGACAACACCACCCAGTATCATCTCTTACAAAGAGCTCTCTTTCTCCTTCAAAAGTACGCAGGAATAACTTTGTATCCATTGACCAAGTTTACTCAGCATGTATTCTTAAGACTTGGCCGTGTCAGAAAGGCCCACATCTGTGTAGATTTTTATGTTAACAGTTGGCTAGCACAGATTGGATCAAAAGCCCAGCTCTTAGAGCAGTAAATAAATCTTTCTGCTTGACTGTACACTAGACAATATTCAGTAATTTTTGTTATCTAAATAAATGGCATGTGTAGTGAAATACAGGTAAACATACTTGTAATTGGACTGTTATTTTCATCTCCTGGTATCCACGAGAGCTCTATGCTTCTTTCAAGTTGACCTGTCAACTCCAAATCAAAGGGCGGATTTGGTCGAGCTGTAAATTAAACAAACACAAAATACTCAGACCAGAATATGTAGTTTCTTCTTCAAAACAATCCTTATACACAAATCAAAACATTTAAAATAATACAGCAATGCAGAACTACTTTCATTATGGAAGCATGATTTAATGACCATTAGCATGCAAGTGTTATGAAATAGAGAAGAACTGATGTATATGGAAACTTATCAACTTATTGTAATTTTAAAAATAAGAATCCATGTTTGATTTTATCTACATCTGATTGAGTTGCAATGCAAAGTGAAGAAATATGAAATGCATGTTTAGTGAAACTACTGCTACTAAAAATAATTAATAAAACATAGAAAATAAGCACTGACATTAGAAAAGCCAATTCAGAATTGCTACAAGCATTCTGCATGTGAATTCAAAACAAATATAGTGCAAAAATAAATTAATCGCTAGCCACAAAGCAGCCTTTTTTATGCTGCATATAAGAACCCTGCAATATCAAAGAACTGTTAATACACATCCATATTATGCATAAAGATAAAAATCATCTACCCAAATTGCTGAAAATAATTCATTATATAAACTGTTACTCGAAATCAAGACTAATGAGTAGCTTCATTTAAATACATATAAGTATTTCCACTGGACATGTCAGAACTTATCTAAATGTGTCCAAGTTACTCATACTTTAAAGTTTTTTTCAGAAGTAGGCATATTGTGTTGTATCTTCAAACGCAAATTCAGAAAAATGCTATCAAATTAAAGACTATATGGACCAATGGATTTTTTTTTCTATACAGTAATTTTAATTTAACAATCCGTATGAGAAATTTCCTCAGGCACAAAACGACTGGGCAATACAGTCCTAAACACTTCTAGAACAAAGTAAAATAAAGATAAATTATGAAATAAAGTATATCACACCTATAAAGTTTTTTATGAAGGTGGTGGAAAAAATATAATAACTTAGAAGGTGCAAGATTTTTCATAGTGAATTAGCTTTCAACCAAGATGTAAATTCACATTTTGGATTTTTTTTTTCATTTTTTAATAAAATTAATTGCATCACAGTGTTAAAGAAAAACAACCACTGCAATCAAGCTTAATTGAAAATAATTGAGCTTTGCAAATTATTTTGTTATTATTCTCTAAAATACAAAGCTTTGATCCTATGACTCCAATCTCTAGCACTCCAGTAATGAAGCAGTTGGTAAAGTGGAATGATACCACACACAAACACACAAACATAGAGGGAAGAAGGAGGGAAAGGAGATGCTGCAGTTTGCAATAGGCAACTGAGAAATATGTCTTTCAGATCATGTAGAAAGAGAATTTTACATTAGTTTACCGTAAATGATAGCTGGAGTTGGGGGAGCAGCTGAAAAGAACATTAATATAAATGGTTTAATCAGTTAGTAGCCAAAGAAACAGAATATTGCAGGCAGTTAAAGACTACAATTAATAGAGAAAAAAGTAACTTATAGCATATGGTTGAATTTACCGGCATTTTTCCACTGAAAAGCCATGCAAATAATTCTTTAATATTTTATCCAATTTCTTTATTAAAATAAATAGTAACAGAGCACTTTTGTAAAAGCTTGTAAATAGATGCTAGGTGTTTAATGTATGTAATTCCTGAAGAGGTATAAGATCACAACATAATTTACAAATTCAAATGTATTTGACTGCAAATTTTAGGTTCAACTTTGGTTCAACTTAATTTTATTAGGTCAGAATCACACAGAATATTATTTAAGACTCTTACAAATTGTGAGGAGGGGCAAAGTAGCACATCTTACAGCCATTTGCAACGACAGACACTTAACAGAGAGGATTAACTGACACAGGAAATCCTCAAAAAAGCCTGTAATGAGGCATGCCCAGTCTTTCTGAAGCAGAATTTAGCAGTCAACAAGGTTCTTGTGCTACCTTGTTTATGTGCAAATATTCTGCAATACTGGATCCCCTCTGTTAGATTATATGTGATATAAATAAAAGCTTACACAGCATGAAACTGACTGTGCTATATGAACCATTTTATAAATTGCTCATTCAGTGGTGAACTTGGGAGCAAGACTGGTGTTTTTTTTAATCTGATATGCATGAAAAGAGGTGAAATTCCTTTTGCCTTGTCCTAGCTGCCAAAACTATGTTTATGCTCTTTTCATTTCAGATCTGTTTTTATTTAACAGAAATTAAACACAGTTCTGCTACTACAAAGTTTTAGAGTATTCTTACCAACAACAGTAAGCACAGCACTTGCTGATACACTGTCCAGAGTGGTATTAATTACGCAAGTATATGTTCCATCATCTTTATCAGTTACATTCATAATGGTCAAGTTGTCTTTACCAACTAGAAACCTGTAAATACAATAAATTCAGCCACTGATTTTTCAATAACTGGTATTTTTATAGGAATAAAAATATTGTCAAATCCCCTGTACTTACGTATTTCTGAAAAAAACTAGAGATGAACATAAGGTATAGGACAATGTCAGCCTTTTCTGCATTGCTATTATGGTTATCTTTCCACAGTTTTTACCTCACTTTCTTATGGGTTCTTATTTCCAAATATCCTCAATGTATTTTTAATTTTCTGTGATCTACAGCAAAATATTTCTTCCATCATCTGTCTGGCCTCTTATGCCACTAATTTTGTCCTTGCAATTGATATATATTATCAATGTACAACTAAAAAATTTTATATCCCATTTTACTTGAATTCTATTCTCATACAGTCTTTACAGTAAATACGGCTTTTAGTCACTAAATATGCGATAGTGATGATATTTCCTAGTCTTCTTCAGTATGTGCCTTTCAGAAAAGACCATAAAAAGAAAATGGAAAGAAAAATATTATTTTGTCCATACCTTTCATCATCTGGTAGCTCTCCATTGTCTTTCAACCATATAATTGTTGGTATTAAAGTAGGATCGTGTTTTATTGTACACTCAAATGAAACTTGGCCAGCTCTCTGAATCACTTTGTATTCTGGCTGTTTGATTATCATTGTTGGATCTGAAATTTAAGATCATTATTAGATATTTTAAAAGCCTGAAATTCTGCACTAACCTGCAATGAAACAGTGATTGGTTTCTTACCTTTCACTTGCAACTGCACCTCGTTTTGTATCTTTCCTAATTCATTCCTTGCTACACACGTGTATGTACCAACGCTATCCTTCTGAGCCACCGGGATTTCCAAGGTTCCATTTTCATGGAAAACGTATTCACTTCCGCTCAAGATGCTACCTTTCACTCCCTTAAACCTTTATATTAAAAGCAATATCATTATCCAGCATCATACTTTAATTCTAGCAAACTTTACCATCAGAAAACACAAACTTGGACTGTCACAGAATCTGTACGTGCTACAGACAGAACCACATACTGAAAAGTAAACTTCACTCTGTAGGGGTAGCTGAATTGCTGTTACATTATACGTTTAAAATAAACTTCTAAAATGTTAAACAAACAGCTTAGAGGTTTTAAATGTTTGTTTTCATAGATATAACTAACTTCTACTTTTTTTTCCTCTTTTTTGCACGTATTTTTAACACAAAAGTAGCTTACCATTCAATTTCAGGCTTAGGAGAACCAAAATAAGCACAGTCTAGCAATGCAGGATTATTTGCAATGACTTGGTACAGTTTATTAGCAGGAGTTAGAATTCTCGGTGGCTCAGCTGAAAAGACAAAGATAATCTGCATATAGACACAAAAATGAAAATGCAAAACACGAGACATCAAGAATGGCCTAAAGAATGTTACACATTAATATTTTCTCTGAAGTGATTTCTGGTTTCATTCTAGGTCCAAATATGTTGTGCTGCCAGCAGCCTGAAGAAACTTTAGTACAGGGTAATTTTCTTGAAGAAACAAACAAACAGAGAGACAGACAAAGTAAGCTTACAAGTCATCATGATGGGCACCAAAATAAACCATTTCATTTGGAGAATTTTAATCAGAACATATTTCAAGGAAATTTGCTGTTGGGAACAGACTGAACTCAGCAGAACGAAGCTGGCCTGGCTACCTCGTGAAACATCTGCTTTTTTGAAAAGAATTTTGGATTCAGGAGAAGTTCTTTCATTTAAAAGACAGTGACCATCAATCAAAGGATCTGCTGTTCCTTTAGAGGTCACTCGGCCTACACTTTCGCTAGTAATTTTGTTAAATTCAGAGAAAAAAGGATAAGAGAGTTCACAATATCTCCCACCTAGAAACATGTTCTTGGAGGCCTTCGAGACAAATGCATAATCACACTGCCTTGCAATAGGAATGTACGATCTTTTCTATGATGGAATTTATCTGACTCCTTTTCAAAGCTTGTCTGAAGGAGGGATTTTTGCAGAAGGAATACAGTGTGTTTTAAACCACATTTTTTAGATGGAACTTAACTGATTCAAAAAAACAGCAAACAATTAAAGTAAACCAAAACATACTTAAAGCTAAAATTCCTGCCCTATTTGTTATATATACATTCTCCCAGGTTCCTTGACTATTTTACAAAGAACAAGGTATTTGTTTTTTGTAAAAAGAACAGCATGCATAAAAAACAGCATATACAGTGCTCAGGGAAGATGTCCATTCCCACTTAATAAAACCCTGAGAAAGGTTTGGGCATGCAATCTCTGTGTCAGGGGGAAACAACTGAATATGGTGAAGACTGAAAGATTTGTTTCTTACCCAAAACGTTCACAAATGCATTTGCCAGAAGATATCCATACTCATTAGAAGCATTGCACTGATACACAGCACTTGACCTTTCTTGCACATCTGAGAAAATAATCGTGTCACCATCTACCTTTCTGCTAGGATCTTCTGGGGCAACTGTTAGTGTTAAAACAGAAAAAAAAAAAAAAGGAAAAAAATGTTTTGTTTAAATTGCTGCTGGATTACTTGTTTTGCACTTGTGAAAAGAAGAAACAACGTGAAAGAGCACAGGCAGGTTTCGCTTTTCAAACAAGTTGTTATATGCATTAGTATTTCTCCAAATATAAAAATAGTCTTACTCTGTTGAAGACTGTCTCAGAGTAAAATAAAAGTCAGCTTAATTCTTTAGCACAAAATTAAGAAACGAAGGAGGTCCACAAGGGAAGTGACAGTAATTCAGTAGGTGGCACCCTTTCCTTTGAGTAAGTATTAAACACTGCCATTTCCTCAGCTGCTCTGTAACAGCCCAGCTGTACCCTAGGGGAGTTAGGGGAATAACAGAAAATAAAATTCTGAGGTATTTCTGAAAAATATTAGCTGTCAGTTTTGATACAACAGAGGTAAAAGAGAAAAAAAATTAGCTTGTAATAGCATGATGCATAAAAATCACAAACTAGTATTTAGCATTTCGCAAATATTACAATACTATTTTATCAATGCATTATTCATATTGAAAAATGGTAACAAAATCGACATGCTAATATAAAATAAATGATAACTCCTTATGCTTCAGAGAGTATGTTTATATTCAGAAGAAAGGGGAGAAATTACTCCTGTATTTTCTCATTTTTATTGAGATATCTACTACTGAATCCTACAGGAGAGAAGACACTGCAAGAAAAGGACTACAGTTCTGAGATCCTTCTTAAGGATATTTCCATCTTGGTGGAACTTTAAGGCTATTTTACATATAAAGAGAGCAGATGCCTCAAGAACTCTATTGTTTTATCTCGGAGACGTTGTTTTAAAGATATTGCTTTACTTACTGTGTTATTCTTATCTTTTCCTCTTATCATCAATTAAGACAAATCTAAAAAATTGGAAAGGGAAAAAGAAGAAAGAAGAAGCAACTACTAGATGTTTAAATGCCTTTTTTTTTCCTCTGGACTTCCGGGTTGCTAGTACTTTATTATTCCCTTTTGCTTTGCTTTCCATCGTGTTCTCTGTTCCATATATGCTTCTATGCCATTTACATGCCATTTGCATTAAACGATTTATAGCCTGAACGCAGAGGGAGCAGATGAGCAGCCTAGCGGGCTGGCCGCTCCTCTGCACTAAGTGCTCCGTTTCCACATACAAATCAATTTGTATGGAAATTCCTCACCACCATCCTCTCCAAAAGCCACGGAACTTCCCACACCCAAGCGGCTGCTTTAGTCACAGCCTCTTGCTCAGGTTTTCACTTCTTGTCCACTGAGTCTTGAACAATTTTCTAGATGCTGACACAGTTTTAATGACTGCACAGAATACAGTCCCGGCATCCACTCCCATATGTAACAACTTGTACAAGGCTGCTCCTTTCAGGGAAATGGAAGCCATTAATTAGCTCAATCTTCTCTGGCTTAAGTGGAACTGGAACTAAAAAAAAAAAGAGACCTAGCCATTAAATTACCATATAAAAAGTAGGGGAACCTCTTCTCTCCCCACTGCTGCATTTGTAGAAGAAAAATAGAAATCTCTCCTCAGTTCTCTGAAGGAGAAGTAGCAGATGTCTGTTTTGAGGAAAATACCTGTGGATCCTTAAAGGGGAGAAAAATCCCTGAGAAAAGCAGGGGGTTAATCAGTGTTTCCATTGGACCAGTCCAGCTATTTGCATGCTGAAGAGCCGCAATATTAGAGAGCTGCCTGGTGAGACTGTGGCCCGTCACAGACTTTCTGACACATCAGTTCTCCTGTGCCTCACAAATAGCACCTACATATACCTGCCATGTGCTACACTTCACTTTGCATGGCCAGGCCCGAGAAGCTGGATTTTTTATCACCCAAATCCTCTACTTCTCCAGTACGGAGAAGGTGTAGCTTCCATCACACGCTTTTGTCACCCTTAGTCACCAGCACCGCGAACAGCGCCTGTTCTCCTGCATATTCATGAACTTCAGCATGAACCTCAGCCCAAGCAGTTACTTCTGCTAGCACGTTTAAACGGGCACTTGTGGCACCGTCCCTTTTTCTGGGGAAGAAGGTAGAACTCAATGTGCTTTCTGAACAGAGATGGTTAAAATGACAAAGAATATGGTTAAAAAAAACATCACTATGCTTGAAACTGGAAGGAAAAGCAACAGATTTTGTTGGATTTATTTTCCTGTTCTGATGAAGTATTTCATTTTCTTGACCAATTGTAATTGCTGTTCAATGTATATTTGTGCACATTCAGGAGATCAAATACAGTGAAGATCAGAAGAACTCTCACCTGACGACACAATATACAACATATTATCAGTCCAAAGAAATAATACAATCTTCAGCCTGATTTCTAAGAATTTTTTTTTGGTATAAATGCTTAGGATATGAAATTAGTCATGATTTTTAGGATGTGTAAATACTAAATGCTTCTGTTCTACAGTGAAAATGCTGATGTCATCCTCAGATGTACTAGAGATTCCCCCTAGCTAGAAACAAGCTGGAAGAGAAAAGAACAGAATTACTTGACTGCTTTTCCCCATATCAGTGAGAATAGATACATAAATATCTTGACATGTGTAAGAAGTTATCTTACCTAAATCCATAAAATGACACAGAAACGCATGTTGAAAAAAGGAAAAGAATCTCTCTTTGGAAAAAAAAAATCATTTCTGAGTGTCTTTCTTTAGATGCCTGCATCTCCCTCAGCAGTTCTCACCTGCAAATCACAGGTAACCATTGCTGCTATGCATTTACTACATATGATTGTTGAAAAACCTTTCCTACGATATACCAATTTTAAACACTTTTTACATTTATGAATAATCTGGTTTGGGATTACAGGACTACTCAGTACCTCTGAAAAACTGAGAGCAGTGTAATACCACAAGGGCTGTTGTTTAAATGTTACAGCATGTAGCCAATCTTTCTTTACTAAAGCTGAGTTATGTTATCATTTTGCATCATTAGGAAAAGACGTTTTTTTTTCAGATAAGCAGTGTTCATCTGTAATTATTTTATTTAGATTCGCATACAAAATGCTTGTCACAGCTCTACCACTCCTGTAATTGTGTTTTTAGGTTTATGCACAGATAGGAGTGAAAGTAAACTGGTGGCTGAGACCAAGAATGCCTTAAACACATGATTTTAAGCTACTCTAACTTCAGAAATAGCTCTGAAGATAAGAAAGATTAAAAGAAAAAAAAAGTAAAGATGATATTTTGCAGTGAAGCTCATGCACACTTTTCAAGTTCTGAAAGATTTCCAGGGTCACCTGGATTACAATGATTTTTGCTTTTTAACATTAACTAAATCAACTGATAACATAGGGAGGAACATTCCAGTGTGGAATATCCACTGAGGCTGGTTGATAAGAAGATACTTCCCTCATGCTGGGACCTCTCAGAGCAGGGGATGTAATGCAAGACATATCTACCCTCTCAAATCTTTTGGAGGAAGTTGGAGAGAAGAGGAAGGAAGGATAAGGTGAAGAAAGGCAATTTCAGCAAAGGCTTACTGTACTTGGCTGTAAGTTTCATGGTCACTTGCAACTACAGTCGCATTTCTATGCAGATGAACACTGATCTAGTGGTACGTGCAGAAAGGCTGTAAAAGTTCTGAGCAGGCAGAGGCTTGGCTTATGGTTTCAGAGTTGAATACAGACAGGACAAAAACAGGTAGTGAAATAGCAAGGGTGGGCATAGGTATAGAGCAGCAGACATGCTTCAGAAACTGCACACTAAAACCAAGGTGGAAGCAAAGCACTAAAAAGGGGACTTAGCAAGATGACCCAGTGTCACCCTAGTCTACCCCTTACAGATTAATTCTGGAAGAAAAGGGACATGGAAAAAGATGTCCTTTTCCTTATTCTACTAACCTAATATTCTCCTCAGTAGAGTATTTTCCTCAGACCGTTCTCATTTTCTCATTTTGACAGTACTAATAACTCCAAAAGGGACAGCAGAACATTACCTGCAGCCTCTCTGTCTTCTATGCACTAGCCACAGCTGTCTGCCTATCCTATGCAGAATACATAAAACTGAGTATCAAAGGTTTTGGTATCTGCAGCAGTTATTGGGCCAGATATTCAGCTCCAATATAATGACAGCAGAAGTGGTGGATAAATGCCTGTCCTGGCAGCTCTTTCCTTGTCACCGAATTCCTTGGGGCATCAGAGTCCAGTAGATTTAACCCCTGCTCCTACGGTTGGGGGGGAACAGATTTCTCAGCTGCGGATTATCAAGTCCTTTCATGAAACGAATCTGAGAGATAATGCTTCTCCTTTAAATTCAATGTGATCACTACTGGAGACTAACTAAAAACTAAGATTTAATGTGAAAGGTGATATAAACAAGCAAAGGACACTGTAAAAGAAGATCAACAACGCCTTCCAGAGCACTACTTTGTCTAAATCTGTGTATTTAATATTTAATAGCTCACCTTGAACTATAAAGTACTGACCCAATAAATTCGTCTTTTGTGCAGTATTTGAAATGCCCTTCTATAGTCCAACTAAGAAAGTGTCTCAACTTTCTTAAAAGTGGAGATACTTTATGCATGGCCTCCCTCCTGTAAAACGGGGCTGGGCAGCTCGGCAGCAGCACACAAGGGGTTATGCAGCAGCATAAATAATGCAGAACCTCAGCACTGATTGCAGCACGAGGCAAAAGCAGAGTCACGGCCTGAACCTTCAGTTGCTACTTGCAAAAGGAATTCTAATTGACCTCGGTGGGACTGTGCATGTAAAGTTCAAGTTACTCCTGCGAGAAAACATTCTGTGGTTCGGTCCTTATCACTCCCGACTGTCTGAAACAGCTTGCCGTGAATTTGCGGCCAGTTTATAAAGTATTATTGTTCATGGAAACTCATTAAGGACTGAAAAGGAACCCAAAATCTTCCCTCAAAAATGTTTTCACTCTGGATAATATAGTCAGGCAAAATGCACTCTTTTTCCCTCTTCTTCACATATACTCGAAATACACTGCTTTTTTTTCTTCTTCTTTATTTTCGTATTAAGCTGCTCTTCATCTTTCATTCCGTTTCCTTCTTTCTTTCTTTCCCCTTTTGGCATTTCAGTCTCACCCTTTGACTGAGATACGGACGAATGCCTTTTTCTTCAACACTCCCCCTTCCTTGTGTGACTCCATTATGGAAAAACAAAACCGGAAGAATTAAGCATCTCCCAGTTGTGCCTTCCAATAGAAAATTAAAGTATTGCAAACAGATTACTGGGCCACAGGAGGCATATTGTGAGATATATGATGACAGCAGGGCTTTGAAATTCAAATGTAGCTCTTTTTCTTTGAAATGCTGCCATGGGTGTAGCTCGCTCAGCACTGCCCTGAAGCTGAAACAGCTGCTTTAGTTTCCTTTTACAGTTTACTAATAATTCAGTTAGAAGAGGGGCTCCGTTCTGTCACTTAGTAACAAGTGAACAAAAGGGCACACTGTAGTTTGGAGCCTCCAGACTGGCTTTTGGTAACTCAGAATATTACAAAATCAAAAGCATCGTAAGAACTGCATCTTCTGCGATCACACAGCTTCTCTAAGATTCCCTGAGAGATTCAGTGCACTGGAGCATCCAGTAAATTTTTACTTTAATATCTAAAGTGTGCACGATTGCTTAGGAGTGGGTGACCTACTACGTAAGGCTAAGCCACCAAATTATTCTCCTGACTTCTGTCTTCTTTTTCCTTCCTTTTTTTTTTCTATTTTTTTCTGTTGAGGTCAAGTGGATAATTTCACCAAAGTCTTTCTATTTTTACTGAGTTTCCTTCCACCAGACTTCATAGACTGATTCCTCCAGGCCAGCCAGCCAACATATGTTGCCACAATATTTTGCAAGTTTGGTGGCATCTTACAACTGCTTTGGAAAACGCTGTATTTCTTTCTGTTGTATTGCTATCCTGCCAGGATGCAAGCCACAACATCACTGTTCTGCTGTCGGATGAATAACATGTCCTAGGGCACTGGCAAGGCAGCAGTGCAGGGCAAAGGGGAATCTCATTAGCAGTTGTGAAAGATGTTAGCAATGAGGAAAGCTGTAAATAATAGTTAAACTATCAGGACAGCAAGGTCACTAGCAGGTTCCATCAAAACAAAAAATATGGTAATTATATACAAGATAGATAGGAAGATAAGACTGCATGAAATCCCCGAAAGAAAAGATCAGGACAGGAACAAAATTCAATTATAAAACAGACATTAAGATATGCTGAGGCCAAACACATATGATATAACCATTGGCATTTTCCTGTGTTCATGGAACACTTACTTACCACTGTGTGCTGAGGTGAGAAATACCTCTCTGACGTGGTGGTGTTAGTTAACTTCAGCTTACAGAGCTCATTTCAACAATGGAAACCTCTTACTCTCAATCTCAGGCTAGAGTCTCTACTTACATTTAATTAGGATTCTTGTAAAAGACTCTTTGGTAAATATTCCTGTTTAAATGTGTGTATATATACATATATATACACATACACACAAATGAGGATATATATATTATACTTATATATATACATATAATAATATTATATGTATAATAATAATGTATATATCCTAATTTTTCCCCAAAGTTGTATATTCTTTCCCTCCAGCTCAGTTTCACCTCTCTTGTACCTAAAAAACTTTGAATCTAACTTGTTCCTGATCGCTTTTTCATTAAAGAAGAAGGACAAAGCTAAAAAGACCAAGAGTGATTTGATGGTACAGGCTATGCTGAGTGCCAAAAGAACTGACAACATCCTGCAGTTTGCCCCAGTAAGTTCTTTTCAAGATACATCAACTATATATAGCAGCTATCTTGCATCCACTCGGCAGTACTGCCAGTCATGACACTTTACCAATTAAATGACTCAATTACCAATTCAGGGTTGCTTTGCTTATCCACATACAGGGAATTAGTTGTCTCACTTTGGCAGTTCCTTTTCTTTGACACCTACTTGGCACAAGTTGTTTGCCAGGCAGTTGCTGACTCATCCCATCAGTTTTCCTACTGATTTTAAGGTTGAAGCCTTGAGAGCTAAAACACATTCTAACTGTACACCCTGCAAAAGTGCTCTGCATATGTGAGCGCCCAAGCTTTTAGGGCAGCTTCTCACTTCTTAGATAAAGCTAGTTTTCCATTAGGGCAGCACTCAAGTTAGCAAGCACAACTGCTACAGGAACCCAGCAGTAGCAAAGCTGCCGCCCTGCCAAAGGCCCCTGGCCCAGCTGGGTTGCTCCGACGCATCCGGGAGCAGATGGGAGATCCAGGCGCCCGCTCACAAACTCCAGTGCTCTCTAGCACATCAAAGGCACCTTTCCTCTTTCCACCTTTACAAACTCCGGCGTTTTTCCCACCTCATTTATAATTTAGTATTAGCCATCAGGCTAAAGCTACTCAGGTACGCAGTCTTCATTTATATTAGAAAAGAAGCTGAACTTCCTCATATCCCCATGTTCATTCCCCTAGAGGATAACTAAAATTCTTACTTGCTATGGGAACGCCATTTGATAACCAGCTTATATGAGGCTTTGGGTTGCCATTAGCTCTGCAGATCAACATCCCATCCTCTCCAGGAGACAAGACCAAGTTTCTGGGTGCTGTTATCCAGTATGGGGCAGCTGGGGTTAGGAAGAGAAATACAGTGATCATTTTCCAAAATGCTACACAGAAATGCTACCATATGATTATATGGTACAGTCACTGTAAAAATATCATAAACCAAAAAACCACATACAGATACGCACTTGACTTTTTATATGTATATATATATATATATGATACTCAAGTAAAGTAAGTAAAATTTCACTTCACCTAAACAGAGTTTTCCTAAAGAAAACTAACTATGGCATCTGCAGTAGATGGAGTGGTGCTTTGATTAAATTCAGGTTATCTATCTATGGTACTTAGGCTGACAGAACTGAATAAGGTTAGATTATGCAAATCGATTTAATGGCAAGAATGAAACTTAGAAATGGCAAAAATCTTGGTCTCTCTGAATTCAATCGGTGATTGCAGTAGAGCCAGGTGCTTTTCCGACACAGCTGAAAAACAGAGAGGTATCAAAACACATGAAATATTTTCCTCAAGGAAAAGGCCTTCACCTATGGCATGACCTTTCGTACAATAAATCACCACAAATAGTCTACGTTATGAACATGTTGCAATTAAATTTCAGTTTTTACATTGATGGATAGACACAAATAGAAAATTAATCTTCTGTTCCTTAAAACAGGGTAGAATCTAACCTCAAAACACACTGCACTATTACATTACATTATTACATTAACAAAATGTTATTACATTAACAAAAATGGATATTTAGCATGCCAAATAAACACTGAAGCTGGTTACTTAAAAGACTAATTATCTCTCATCCCAAATATTTTCTTTCATGATGTTCAAAACATACTTACAGGCCATACCTATATCAACACACTGTGTTTTTGGAACAAGTACAATATCATCGTTGGATAAAAGTGGCAAAAAACAAGAAGGAGGAGATATGACAGAAATATAGATTAAGGGAGAAAAAGGAAGATGAATATGAAACTAGATTAATATGAAACTAGAAAAAATATAAGAGAAATATAGTAAGTGCTATATTAATGGAGAGCAGAAAGAATCAAGAAAGAAGAGCTGAAGAAGAAAGGGAGAGAGATAAAGAAGAAGGCAGAGAAGCAGTCTAATGATAGGCAATCTAAGCATCTACAGTAAATGTAGCACAGGTACAAGCTAGCAAAATATTTCACCGTTATTACAGTACAGTTTCAATGTAGCTATTCAATGACATATTAAAAAGACAATGTGTTAGACACAAGTAAGTTCCTCAGATAGAAGAATCAGTTGGGTTAATGATAATTTCCTTCCTTTTTTTTACCACCATCATTCATTCTTGCAGCTACAGTTCATCCTGGAAAGCTTTTCAAAGAGAATACGTTAATTCTTGCATTAAATGCTATTAAATTAGTGTTTGTTACCTTTAACAGTCACTGAAATGACATGATGAGTAGAACCTAGTATATTTCTTGCTATACATTTGTAGTTTCCAGAATCAGCTTCAGAAACATCTATGATCTTGAGAGTTTTCTTAAAGTTTTCAAAAAACGTTCTGTTGACTGGCAGTTCCCCACCCTCTTTAATCCAGCGGATTACTGGTGTGGGTCTGGAGAAGCAAAACCACATCATATTCAGGGAACAGGAAAGAAAGAAGACTACCACACTATCCATTATTTAATAAATATTTTAAAAATAATTATATTAGGAGCCTTTACCCAGATTCTGGAGCACGTCCAGCAAATCTGCAAAATCTGCCAACATTTGTTTCTAGAAAATGACAAGTCTCACTAACAGTGTCAATGGCCATCTGTTTGCAGGCTCAATAATTATGGAATACATTTGTCTACTGATAATCTAGATCCCCTGGTGATTTGGTTAACAAAAAACACAAATATAATTCAAACGTCATTGCACTTGTACAATCTCTTGTGGTAAACTGAAAGTCCCAGTGCCTTAAAAGGCTTCCAAATAATGACAAGTTTATAATAGTCCTTCACTTGAGCAATAGCCTAATTAATGTTCCATGATCATCATATTTTTTACAACAGAGCTGTTAGCAGACAGAAAATTTTCCTATGATGATTAAAGAAAAAAATGTCAGTGCTTGCTCAGGTATAGTTGCTGTAGTAGTTATAGGCACTGTACTGCGTCTAAGTCTTAGCTAAACTCCATATTGTCCACCAAAGTTGAGTTATCCAAACTCATGTAGGCAGACATCTACAATCATAACAAAATGCAAGTTGCTACTTCCAGAGTGAAATGTTTCCTCTCAAATACCATGATTCAAGGCAAATATCCTCTCAGAAGTCTAATATTGCATATTTTATAACAGAGACGCTTAGGAAAGCTGAATTTAAATCACGGTTTCTATAATTAGGAATAGTTGCTTTAAACAAATGGAAGAACTGTGGGCCTTGTGGGCTTCCTGCAAAAAAAAATCTGAAAAAGAAATTACATGAAGACTAAAGACACAAAGCTACATTGTTCAATATTCCCCTTTTTTACTCTTATTTACTCAATCATATTCCTAAAGCATGAACCACTGAATACATTTATTGCAGAGCTATGAGAAACAAACAAAAAAATGCAAGCTGTGGGTGAAGATTAGCAGAGCTGGTTCTACTCCCACTAGGAAGCGGGGGATGCAGCAGCGCGCGATGCGGAGACGCCAGCCTTGGCCGCAGCCGAGAGCGAGGCAACGCACTCGCGCTTGTGGCACACGGCCGAGCGGGCCTGGGGAGTCCACGTGGGTAAAAACATCTGCACGCTGCTCTGCTGCCATCATTTGCTGGCCCAGAGCTCTGCATCATGGGGTTTTATGCACTGTAAACAAGTTCAAAGTGCTGAAATAGGCACTAAAAGATTTTCCAGGCCTCCATCAGTGCTGTTCACTTCTCTGATTTCTTCTTGAGAATGAAACTGATGCAAGATCAAACTAGTTCATGAAGTTAAACTACTATTTAGTCATTTTCTACTTGCACAATAAGCAGCAAAGAACATGGTGAACATCATGAAACAAGTGCCAATTAAATTCAATTGCAGTGGGATGCTGGATGCAAGCAACTGGAGGGATGTTCCAATAACTCCCACCTAGCTGATCTAATAAGTAATTATTAGCAGATGTGTGAGTAGCTTTTATAGATTAGACCAGCATATTATTATCTATTTTAATATAACATGAGGGCCTAACGATGGTAAATTTAAGAGAATTAAAACAGTTGCTTGCTTCAGGCATTCTGCTTGAGCATGATGACAAAGTTCTCAGTCCACCTCTGCAGTTGAGTGTCCAAGCTAATCCCACGATGTTACTTGCTTATGTCATGAACAGGAACACTAGTATGGCCTGAATCCGATACACACGGGCTTGGTGAAATGAGAAAGCAGAGGCCATAATAACGGTGTTCTTAGTTTTAAAACCTGCTGATGCCCACATAAATGGCTTTAAATCTGCTCGATCTTACACATCGGTTGCTGAGGCTATAATGCTGTCACACTGACACATAGCCACTAAGGGTCTCTGAACTGTTTTTCCCCGTGTTTTATTGTTTTTATGCTTAGTTAAAGAATAATTAAGATTCTTAATTAAAGAAATACCGCCTAAAAAGTAACTCACAATCCTGCTGCAATGCACTCCAACAAAAGCACATTTCCTCTCAGTTCCACTTTGTTACTTGTGCTACCTGTTGGTGTTAGAAGAACCGGTTGTCTCTCTTTAACTGGTTTGGCTGGAACAAGAAAAAATTAAAATAATGAATTTCTAAACTTTAATATTGACCAAATGCATACACCCATTCTCGCATTTTGGACAGCAATTTCACTACACACTGTGCATTTAAGTAAAAAACATCAAGTTAGACAATGGCATAGTTCAACAAATTAGATTTTTGACAGACATAATAATAGAATCACATCTGAACCTGGAATTTTCACAGAATCACAGAATGGTTGAGGTTGGAAGGGACCTCTAGAGGTCATCTAGTCCAACCCCCCTGCTCAAGCAGGGACACCAAAGGAGGAAAATGCAGTTGCCTGGTGTGAGGAATTACAAACACACAAATGAAAAATATTATATAACATAGAGGGAGCATCTGATATAGTTTTTACACAGGCAACTATGTGGCCTGATGGGTATACAGAGAGCCCTAATCCTAAACAGCTCCTATTCACTACACCAGAACTATTCAAAGTGTGAAAGACAACCAGTATGAGTCATACTGCAAGCCTGAAAGTTACCCTAAGCTATGGCGATCCCATCAAAACATAAATAAAGTTATTGTATGCAGAAATATAAATCAAAGTGACCAAAGGTATACTCTGCTTTGCACTCTGCTTTGTTCATTATTCTCTAGACTGCAAAGGATGTCTCTTGGGAAGTTTAGTCACGTCTTCTCCACTTCCTATATATTTAGTTCAAATTATTTTGCAGTCTGATAATTATGAACCATTTTCTACAAGAAATAACCATAGTCAACAGACAGCCAGAAATTACATTCTGTTGGCTTCTGAAATTTCATGTGCCTTCATGAAAAGCAGAATAACAGACTGTTCTGTAAATACTCTAATGCTCAACAGCAATTTTATAACATACAATTAACTTGCTGCAGTGTTGTAATCGAAATCGTTAAAATAAATTACTTTTACCTTTTAAAAATGTGTCACAAATCTTGTTTATTACAAATTAGGATGTATTGATATATTAAAATACAAAATTTTAGAAATTTTCATACCATATTTACCTTGACTTTCTTAAAAACTAATACATGAAGGATTCTCTTTGAACTGAGGGATAAAAAAGGCAGTAAAGGGTGAAGAAGAAGTCAATAGTCAGGGGCAGAAAGTTGTTTGTCCATTTTCTGCACTGTAAAGACCACTGACTCACATTATAAGATTATAAACATTTAGAATTAGCTCAGGTATTTCCAAGCTGTGAGACAACTGAATTGTTTTCTATCCACTAATTGCAGTTTCTACATCATACTGGGTTCATGTAAATATTTCTTGTTTGCTCTTGAAAGAAAACTTTTTATACTGAAAGTTTAAAAATATTCAATGTCCCTGATTGATATATTTTATATTGCAGTAAGTTAGCGTTTAACTATCTACAGAGGTTTTATCTACAAAGTCTCATTTAAGTAGAAAAAAAAGAGTCACTATGATCCAGTAGCTCTGTTCCATTATTTATCTCATACACTATTAACTGGGGGCATCTAAAACTTCAACCCTTATGAAATCAGTCTTGCCCCAAGGCAGCATCACTAAACACATGTACACCTGTTGAGGAGGATTTCAGCCACAGCATACAAAAAAGGATCATTCAACTTTTAGATTAATGTGAAGATCAGCTCAAACAAACAAATGCAGCTATTTTTCCCCTACAGGGTTAATTTTAGACAGTGTTAAAGCATTTAGATTTTAATTCATTCCAGTTTTACACTCATGAAACATGTTAAAAATGAATGGTACATTCAATATATTATTAAATGTGAAATGCATCTGTTTAATACTTAACTGTTACTACTTAAAATGCAGCATGTGATATTGAATAGTCCTAGTGATAATGAATACATCCAATTATAGTTAAATTGGAGGAAAAATATAAACAAGCAACACATTATGGAAGCAATTAAATAGACAATTTACAAAATCTGTCCCAGTGTGAAAGGACTCCTTTCTGGTAATTCATTTATTTTTTTTTTATGAGCCATGTTATAATAATATTAAAACATAAAATGCTTTAAAGGATCACACTGTGCAGTCCCTTATTATTAAAGTGATTATCACCAGCACTAATAGATACCTTTATTAGAGACTGGAAAGGGAGCAAAGGTTAAGTAGCCGTGGAGGTGAAGTTAGTTAACTAAACGCTACCGTGGAACAGGGAGTATCAGTGGGGACCAGTGTAACTCACCACCATAAATATCAGTGTCACTCAAATTAGCAGCTATAGTGTCATTCAATGAATCCACTGAAATAAACAGAATATCATGAAGAATGCATATAAGAGGGATAAATCAAAATACTGGGAATCAAAAGGTGATGATAGGGCCATGGTGAGTTAATCAAATGATCAATTAAGTTGTTTCAATAGTTATGACATGAAAACCATTTCAAAACTGCTATTTATTATGCTGTAATTTTTTACTAATTCAAATCTTAAAAAACATTTTTAAAAGAAAAAAGCCTAATAAAGGAAAAAAAATCATCAGTATTTGCAATAAATCACATATCAAGAAAATCAGAGATTACGTTCTAAGTTTTACAGAGTAATTTAATTTCTTATTCAGAATTAAAATATCAAAATTCCTTGGGGTAATTTTGGGTAAACCTGTTTAACTGCTGGCAAATAACCAAGAATTCTGGATAAATGCAGTGTTTAGGATGTGATTAGGTTGTACAATACCTACTTGACAGAACCTTTACAGAAATTGGTTGCTTCTGCTGTATAGTTTGTGTATGATTAAATCTTGCATAGCAGATATAGTCCTCACGGGTGTCTTCTGGTTGTACATTAGAAAAATAAAGGTCTCCATTTAGACCTTGGGAAACTCTTTCACTTTGAGGCAACCTTTGGAAAGCTAAGCAAAAACAAGAAGACATTTATTTCAACTATAATACACACTCTACTGTTATGATCTGCAGAATCCACATTTGTTCCATTACGCTTTCTGTAACACCTTATCTCTTTGTAATTTTACTACAGTCTTTTGGACATTTCTTCTGCAGCACCCCTCCCCAGTGCCTTAATTTAAAATTCACAGGGAGATCTCCAGCCACCCTGGGCTGCAATACGACTACTTTTTCATTTCTACATAATGGCAAATTCTTCGAATTTTAACTTAGTGGGAAACTCTGCCATCTGTGCTAAGTACTAGCAAGCACTGAGGAACTGCTTAGAGAAACAGACACAAGTATAGTAAGTCTACATCAAAAAAAGTCAAACTTACCATTATCCATCCAAAATATTATAGGGGGTGGTAAACCAACGGGAGGTCTGCAGTGTAGCACTAGAGAGTCACCTTCTCGAACTTGATTTGGTTCTAGCCTTTCTTTAGTCCACAGAGGGGATCCTACAGAAAATAATTGTGACAAACATACAAGTCATGGATTGACGAAGATTCCAGAACTCAAGGAAGAACCGCAGAAACAATTTTAGAAATAGAGAATAACCATATACATCAAAAATATAGTTCCCCAATAATTTAAGATTTAATTTCTGTTCTTTATGCTTTCTTGGGAGAAAAGCAAGCTTTCTTTAAGATATTTTTTACAACAATGATTCACTGGAAGTAAAACTTATTTACTCAAATTATTTTGGCTACTAGCTGAAGATACTGCAACGGCATCTTGCAAAGTTCAAAGTTGGGCAACACACACACACACAAAGTGATGCACACTAGTAAAATAAAAGTTAGACCTTCACAAAGTAGTTATAACTGTTTGAATAAAATATGTGAGAACAATATATCTTATGCTGAGAAACTTGAAAAAGTGATCTGAATTAAAAATGACAGAAATAACACAGTCAACATAAAAGGCAGTTTATCATTAATTAAATTAATTAAATTAGTTTTATCTCCCTTTTGGTCCTTATCTGTTCTGTCTTAAAGCTACTACAAAAACTATGAACTATGTGCATCAGAAAAAGAGAGTAAAAATTATCCTCATCAAAGATGTGCATTAAAAATTTAGTTTTCTAATTGAAAGGTTTTACATACCACCCAATTTTAAACATGGCAGACGTTTTGAAAAAAAAATCAGCAACACATTCTGGGTTTTAATATCCAAGAAATTTTATAGAGAGTATGCCATACTTTATAAGTGCGTTACATACAATACCTTTTAATTTGATCACTATGATGATTAAAAATGTGTCTTTTTTAATGAAAGGCAAAAATAGAATAATTAAAACAAAATGTGCTGAAGAAAATAAGCGAACGTAAGTTTTCCACATGTTAAGAATACTAGAGTTTCACTTACTGGATGGCCTTATGACAATATTGTTGGAAATGGCTGCTCCTCGTTCATTCCTTGCTGTACACTGGTACACCCCTTCATACGCCTCTGCCTTTCCACCATTCATGATATTTATGACCAGGGTTCCTGAATTTGGCTTCATTGTTACCAGTGCATCTTTATCTATATCAAAATGAGTCCCATTGCGTGTCCATGAGAAGCTATCATAACAAAGGCAAAAATAAAAATTGTTTCTTCAGTAGTTTATTGTAGATCATATAGAGAGAAAACAAAAATACATTTTTATTAACACACTGCATTTTTTCTTTCAGTTTATAAATAGGATTTTTTCTCAAACTGAAACAACAAAAGAAGTAATACAGCACTTCTTTAATATAACAAATCTGGCAATACTTCCAGATGAAAGATTTGGCAGAACTTGGCCATTTCAAAGTCAATATTTTTACCTTTAAATTACATAAAAACATTCAAAATTTAGTCATCTACTGAAAAGAACTATTTTATTTTCTACTAATGATGATACGGTAACATCTGCTAGAACTGCTACTGCTAAAGTTGCATTAGCATTTCTGTTCTAAAAGCTGTTGTCCAAAGGGTTTATAAACCTGCCTTTAAAAATTTGCTCGGGGCTGAAACGTGTCCCAGCAGGAGAGCACTTCTCTTAATTGGCTTGGTCATTTTTAAGTTACTGAAGTGAATTAAAGACCGGGTGGTGAGTTTGATTTCTTTTCACTACTCCAGCTCAAACGATTGTGATCCATTAAATGAAATTTTGCAATTTGATCATCCATGGTTAATCTAGTAAATTCATGCTGGTGCTATTCAAGGCAAGAGATGTTTGGTAAAGGAGGCACTACAAGGGAAGACTATTAAAACTCATTTAAAAAAATGTAAACCCTAACTGCTCTTTTGGCCGGTAAATGTAAAAAGCAGAGATTCGCAGTGTGCAACCTTTACTATTGCAAACCCTAACTGCTCTTTTGGCCGGTAACGAAGCGATGCTGAGATGGAGCAGTTTGCAACGTGTTAAGCACTCGTTTCCCACACTCTGACCGGCAGTTTTTGTGCTGGTTACGCATCAGGCTCACACCCTTCAACACAAACCTGGCTGCTCTACGTGATTACTGGCTCCAGCATTACCTAGCAGTATAAACATACGCAGTACTGGAAAAGTTCACGTTTTAGGTGACATGTTGTGCCCCGACCTTCTGCAGGAGGAGGGCCGGGCTGGGCCTGTCTGTAGCACAGCGGAGAAGCCGGGCCCGGCCAGGAGCACTGTGACACAGCGGCAGTATTTTGGGCAGCACTAGAACCCTGTGAGCTCCAGGTGTCAAACTACTCCTTAGGAATTTGCACGCAGAGTCACAGATTGTGGGGCTTCTGGAACAGGGAAGGAAGGGGGGAACGGCTTCAAGAGAGAGGTGGCAAATTGGGGGTGAAATCTTGAACTTGAGATATCTGAAAGCGAGAATTTTTGCTGCTCAGACCATCCGTAAGCCTTTAAGTCAACTCTCTGCAATTTGAAAGTCACGTTGCTTTAACGAACAACTTGCACTCCTTCTGACTGAGAAAGCTGAGCTTCAGAGCTTTGGTTCCAATAGTCATTTGCAGGAACAGATTCAAGACTAATGGACCCTGTTACTTACTGAAATAAACTAGCTGGATGTGATAACTTAAAAACAGACAAGAGTAATTACAAGCTATTTCCCTCTTGAGAAACTTCTGCACTGAAATCTGCTTCTGTAGCAGAGGAACAGGGTGACAAACAGATTTGATGAGAAGGGTGAGAATGTAGAGCAGCAGTAAACCCTGGCACGCGGCTAAGTTTCATGGATAATGATCATAATCTCTTAGCTAAATCCACCCCAAAAAAAGAGTTCAGGAGAAGCATCTGCAGGAACAGTAGTCCCAAAGCACACAGTAACCACCCAGGTCAACATCCAGATTCTTGACCATAGCAACAACCATTACTGAAAACAAGGATGCATGTTTCTGTCTTACTCTGTGAAACCAGCAGCAGCAGTTAGGGCAGTGACAGAATGTATCACTCCTACTGCTTTTTCTCCAGTTCAGGTACCCAGCAAAAATATTCAGGAATTCTCTATTTCAAAGTACTGGAAGTAGGGCTTTGTAATGGAAAACACTTGAGAATCAGTTTGATGTAAGCATAGGGTTACCATTTCTTCCAAAACTCTTAAACTCTTCCAAAGCTGTAAAATGCACCTGATAAATTAAGGCGTATCTATCATTTAAACTGATACACGCCTTAACTCCTTACAGAACACTTATATAGTTTAAGGTGAACCTCCCAGAACTGAGTGATTTAGAAAACATAAACTACAATATACTACAAGAAAAAATGGCTAATGACCCGAGTTTTATTAGGGTTAGTCTGAATTTATCTATTGCGTGCACTTATTGGATACCACACCAAAGATTGGAATGTGATCCCATTCACAGTATCTTTATTGGTGAAATAATCTAGTATTTTCTAAACTCTTCCAAAGCTGTAAAACGCACCTGATAAATTAAGGCTTATCTATCATTTAAATCGATACATGCCTTAACTCCTAACAGAATACTTATATAGTTTAAGGTGAACCTCCCAGAACTGAGTGATTTAGAAAACATAAACTACAATATACTACAAGAAAAAATGGCTAATGACCCGAGTTTTATTAGGGTTAGTCTGAATTTATCTATTGCGTGCACTTATTGGATACCACACCAAAGATTGGAATGTGATCCCATTCACAGTATCTTTATTGGTGAAATAATCTAGTATTTTTCTGTCACTGGAGCTTTAAGGAGAAAAAAAAGTACTAGCTGCTCAGTGCTACAGAAATGAGACTACAGGTTGAGAAATATTCAGATTTACATTATTTGCTAGTAGCCATTTAATGGAGGATGGTGCATTTAATAGAAGATGGGTGCATGCACATCACACTGTGTGCAAGCACATATATACGCACACAAATAAAAAGATACTAACCTTGGTGGTGGCTTTCCTTTTGCTTCACACTGTATTACAATATTCTCTCGAGGGTCAATAATGTAATCTTTTGGAGACTGCTGAGTTATTGTTGGAGGCTGAGATACTTCATTGTGCAATATAATTAAGAAACAGAGAGCAAATTAATATTTTCAAAGCAACAGCAGCAGTTTTGTAAGGGGAGAAAGCAGAATTACAACTGGTAACAAATTAATCAATGGGAAACTAGAATTGAAGTATCCTTTGTAGCTTGGCTAAAACCCTCTACTCTTACAAATCAGGGTAGTTGTACCATCTTCAAATAGAGCTACACCAATCTATGGCAGATTAAGATCTGGATGCAAATGTTTGAGGAATAATATTTGCTATACATCAGATTTCAAACGGCTTTCATGAGTAAAAGGACACTTCATTTCTAAAAGTCCAATATATATTTTAGAATATGCAGCCATGGGAACTATTTCCATACAAAAAAAAGATATGTTTTTAACATATGGAAATAAAGAAAAATATAATATAGGTTATTTCTAAATACTGAATGTATTTCCATATTCTCTACATGTGTAAAATTTTTAGAGGTTTATTGTGTTCAACAGGTTGAACTAATCTACAAAGCATGTTTCTAGGAGCTACTTTTCAGGAGTAAAAATGATGTTTAAATAGCCAATAGACAGGAAGAATGAGGTAAGAAAAAAAAGAACAGTAATTAGAATTTTTCGAAGATAGTAAACATGTGAGAAAAGTCTAGTATTGATTCTCCCAAAACAAAATAAGTCAATTTTCTGACTTGATCCAGGAGAAACATCCCAGAATGAGCAGATAAAACAAAATCTATCTACCTGATAAAGCAGCTGGTGCGTTGCTGATGTAATTGGTAATCTGTTACCACTATCTATAGACACTAGCTGGTGCGTTGCTGATGTAATCTGTTACCACTATCTATAGACACTTTTTTTGTATAGAAAAACCATTAAGATAGTGATAAACATATCTTCCTAAACATTATTAATCTGTTTAAAGTTCAGTGTCAACTAAAGGAACCAGCTAAGTGCATCCCCACAAACATCCCTCTGCAAATGCTGCAAACTATATGTCTAGCAGTACTCTTTGCTGCTGCTTGGGGGTCCCTTTTAGCCACTTGAGCAAGACATTTCCATCATTAGAGAGTGCTGTGTTCTCACGTAGTACTCCGTTATTTTAGCCCGTAAAAATTGTAAAATCGGGATTTTTATTTTGAGCATCATTAAACATTAAGCAAGGCCTCTTTGTTACACAGACAGAGGCGACACTCTGCAAAGCACCATCCACATGAAGTAGCCTGGGAAAAAATCACATCACAGAGATGTTACGTTACATAAGAGTTAAGCAGAAAAAAACAGGCCACACAGTGCTAGATTTTGCTCTTCATCCTCACCACAGAGAGGAAAGCAAATGGGAGTGGGAGGGAACATCTTTACAGGTTGCTGGTGTTTTTGCACTCCCTTGAGAGGCACTCTGGCGTCTCCTCTCCCCCAGGGGCAGCTCTCGGGATCCACAGTCGCTTTCTGAGGGAAAGGCAGCAGCTCTGAGACGGGACGCGCCGTGAGGCCTGCACCACGCGCAGCGCGGCCTACCTGGATTCAGTCCTCGCTCCTGCCCTGAACCCTGCATGGCTACCACGACGCTACAACTGACTTGGGAGATCCAGTAATCGGCTAGATTGACTTAACTAAATACACTCTTTTTTAAGGAAATAAAAGTAACTCAAACTCAGACATGAAAAATAATTAAATATGTTTACTCCTGAAAGTAGTAGTAAAACATTGCTCGTGCTGGTACTGAATATGGGTTTTATCGTTCCGACAGCAAACCATACAAAATTCATTCCTTTAAATACCAGGATGATTTATGTACAGTAATATTTTCTGCATGCACAAAACAGCCACAGCAAACCAAATTATGGACAAAATATCAGAATAACACATTTTGGATTGTAAATTTAATTTGCAACACAGTCAGTATTATTTTTCAGCAGCACACAGTCTAATTTTGGTGGACAGGAACTTACATTCTTCTAGAAGTTTTGCTTTTATTCCCCCATCAGAAACAGCAGGTGAATGGACAAATGGAGATTAAAGAGAAACACTTGTTAGTAAAAAGATAATTAGCATTTTTGAGAGGGAAGACAAGTATCCTTGGCAAGTACATTGGTCACCATTAAAAAGAAAAGATTTACCACTGTAACCCATAAAGTGATTCCTGAAATTCCAGTGATTTCCATTGGGTCAGAAATATTACATTTATTATAAATTTCAGGGTGTGAGAAACTTCTCTGAAATACTGACTTTTTAGGGGCAACCACCATGTGACTTTGGCCCCACAAGGACAAGAAGCATTGACAGGGAGGAGACAGGAAATCAGAATTAATGGCGGGCACTGCCCTTGTGCTGCAGCCAAAATCAATCTACCCAAATGACCATATGGAAAAATAAAGAGGACGCTGCGGGCTAAAATCATTCCAACAAAGGCCAAATCATCTAATTCTACTCGACAGATATGCAATTACATTTTACTCAAAAAATAACTAAAAAGAAAAATTAGTCTCTGCTGTCACATATTTATTGCTTACTTTAAGCATTTTGCATAAATGACCCCTTATCAGCAACATTTTAGAGCAGATCAAACCACTTCAAGTCAGCTACGCTATTCGTCACACCTTACACGCTTTCAGATACTGAAACGCATAAGAACTGCTGACCTGAAGGAAATCAAAGGCTCAAGTCATAGAGGATTTTATTACTACCAGGTGCCTGCGGTGGGTGTGAGCTACAGAAAATACAACCCTGTCCTTCCCTTGTGGTGCTTTCTCAGGAGCCATTCCACCCATTACTTAAGAAAACAATAACATAATTACAGACATAAATTCAGTTAATATGATCTTTGGCTATATATTCATGTATCTAACCAGATCTAACACAGTTATTGATGTCATCTCACAGGTAATGTTAAAAGTTAACACCACACATATAAAAGGGCTATTCATTTTGGTCTGTTGATGCATTGCTGATTAATATAGCTTGAAATGTTACTCTGTGCACAAGCTACCACCATACTGAACAATTTATATACATTCCTAAACTATAAGGCTGAAAGAATATTTAGGGAGAAAAAATAAGATTAAAAAATAAGACATTTGTTCATCCTGTGTTTAAAGCTATATATAAGCCACATCATTTAAAGGCATTCACAATACTACAAGCCAATGTCATTTAGATATATTGATCTTGCTACAGAAAAAGAGGTCAATGGTTTGAAAGGCTTAGAAAAATGTTCAGGAAGAAAAACCCCAAAGTGGTTGAAAGCTATGTGGATCATTAAGGAGAAACATGCATTTACGGTAGAAAGTACCAAAAATACGGGGGCAAAGAAAGCCATGCAGATTAGAATCACAGGTGAATTTACTGATGCATTAATCCATCAATTTAACAGAAGACCTGATTCTCTTCTCTGGCAATTAGCTTTACAAATGAATAGTCAATGTGAGGTGGAACATGGCTCAGTGAATTCTGAAATTGTGATCACGCTTATCTTAAAATGAAAAGAAAACCTGAAGCATGAATGAATTCATAAAAACAGCTATTACAGCCAGATACAATGACAAATTACAGTATCTAAAACGGTGTTTCCATGGAATTTAAGTCTGTCTACAATATTCCATGAGCTATTGAACTCTACCTGTCTATATGTGCAACTAAGGTTGCACTATATGTGCAACTAATATGTGCAACTAATGCCTGACTTGGCTAGGACTAGGGATAGTCCTGGTGCTTTCAGCAATTTGCCAATATGACTTCAAAAAACAAAAAAACAAAAAAAACAAAAATCACAACCATTTCTGCTCTTCATTTTGATCAACTTAAGTGTTCAATAGAGGCATACAAAAGTGTGATGTATTTCTCAGAATCCCCTGTTAACCTTTTTCAAGTGAATATTGGTATTTTAGATGTTAAATTTTTGAAAATAATTCATGCAAATATTCATAATCACAGTATCCTGATCAAAGTGGGCAAAGATGTTAAGGCTGTTTCATGTGTAGTTCCATGTTGGAGTTATCTTCATCTTCTTACATATAAATTATACAACTCATCTTCCATTACTATGCCCTTATTCAGCAGATAATACTTACAGTCTAGAGGTACATCCAATGCAGAAATCATTTGGCACAGGAAGAGAACCAAGGAAGCTTTGCTTGCAGATGTGCTCTTCTTTTTCATCATGATTTTAGGCTGTATTAAGTAACTCACGCTGCAAGAATGAGGTCCAACTTCATCAGATTAGTGGCTTGAAATAGTTGTGTAAATACAGTCAAGAAACCTGATAAATAAAAATATGAGAACATCAACATGGAAACACTATGGAGACTCATACGATGATGTTTGAGTAACATCATTACCAGTCCCCTCTGCATTATATGGAAGAATAAAAGCAGAGAACAAAAATAAAATACAAGCTGTACAAGATTCAAAAGTTCTGAGGATACCTAGACCATGATCCTGCCCTTAATTCCTAAGGATGGTAGTGAATAACACTTACAATCTTCTTGAAGGGTAGGCAGGCTTCTGTTTATGCACAAAAATTTATGATGAACATATCTTGGCATATCTAGCCCTGCAAATCAAAATCTAATTAACTAGCACAATACAACCAAACTCTCTTCTCTCATTTCCTGGGTCACGAGGTTGCAGAAATCAAATTCAAAGGAGCTCTATTCTTTGAAATGCTCTATATTTTCCCCCTCAAGCCAATACGAGAGTGTGTAACAAACCAAGGTACAAGAATGATTCTGACACCATCTTTGTATTTGCTGCATTTAGGACCAAAAAGAATGTTGAAGGATTAAAAACCAGCTGCCTGTGACTGCCATCATCATTGCTGGTGACCTACAGGGAGCTGTACGAATGCAGCTTTAGAAATCCAAGGTACAGCTCTCCAATTCTTCTGCAGCACATTTATAGTGACTGAGCAACAGCAGAGGAGCCACTTTCCAGCCGCCAGACTGACCAGCAGGTTCACAGTGATCAGCATTTCCCAAGCCATACATATAAACACTGCACCCAATGCTATAAAAGTTCACAAGGAATGAAAGTTGCAAAGAAGCAACTGACTGACTTAGGCTAAATGCTTGTATTTCGTATGATAACTTATGCTGATCTGTGCCAAGAGTTTGCCTTAATATTTAGGTTACAGAAGAAACGATGCCTCCTAATTGCTTCTCTAAATGGACTACTATACACCACAAAGAAACAACCAAGTATCCCACACTACAGATAAGAGAGATGACAAAACCCTTCAGAAGAGACAGTGCCAGAGTCCGAGCCTTTATATAGTTATTGACACAACATGCACCTGTATGCACAGATGAGATGAGGAGCCTAACTCAGAAATCCCCAACAGCGGGTTAAGGCAGATAGCAGGAAAGCACAGTAAGTAGATTCAGGTTCTCTTAGCCAGGAATAGAAACTGAACTTGCCTTTTCTATGTTTCAATTGTGCACCTTAAATCATGTCAATGAAATCCACCCTGCTCCTCTATTTCCCCCCAGTTTGGCAGTTAAAAACAAAATAAATAAGCCATAAAACCTACCCAGGAAGTGCATTTGGAGGGATGCCAGGCAGACGGGAGAAATGCTTCTTCCATCCCATTTTAGGCACATAAACTAGCAGGTTAGTTTCCTGCAATTCCTCTGTTGTCAGGAGAGACACAGAGAAAGGCTCCTCTCGAGCATGATTTAAAGCACTCAAGTTGTTTTCCGGCACTGAAGAGCTCTTTCGAGAGCTGATTTCACTCCTCTGACTGTAACTGTCTGTTCTCCTTTAGCTAGGCCAGGTTTTCACAAACCACTCTCTCGATCTCCACGCAGGCTTCTCTTTCACAACCTGCTGTCGTGAACTGCATATCTGAATGGAGAGCCGCTCTCTCTGAACAATGTGCTTGACCCAGGTTTGACCGGATGGTCTGTGAAGGAGTCTACAAGTGAGCCTTGACTTCTATTGCTTCTTCTCCAAGGAAATTTCAGTTCTCTTTAAGAAAATGCTGAGAACCTGATTAGCCACTTTATTGGCTTGTTCTTTCATCGTGTAAAATGACTATTATATCCTACTGCAGTGATTTGAGAGTATTTTAAAATTAAATTGCATTCCCTTTGAACAAGTACAAACGGATACCCACAAGAAGTGGTGAATCAGGCTCACACATGTGCAACTAAAATGATTGGGAAAATAATACCCTTGAGAAAATACTTCCCATTGTATAGCTCTCCTATTTCAGATACCTGCTTAGTCTGCTGCTCTCATGTCTGGATATAATATGGGAATTTAAGAGGCAATGGGAATTTTAAAGCTGAGCTGGCACATTGACTTTGTCATTCTTCATAGAGGCAAAGTGCCCAAACGTTTTGTGATAGAACATATTTAACTGAAAATGATTATAAGTTTGTCAGCACAATTGGACGCTCTTGCTGAACATATTCTAGATTAAATCTGACATAATTTAGTAAGAATACGAAAGCTGCTGACTAGAACAAAACATTGTTGTGACACAGTATCATCTGCTACAAAGTAAGGCCAAGCATCTAAAGGCAGATCAATGTATAAGCTTCAGTTTCAGAACTCACAATACTTATACAACAGACTGCCTTTTCTTACAGATCATTTGTCTAATATCTCATAACCCAGCCACTTTGTCCTACTTTTTTCCATAGTAAAACAGATTTTGACAGCTCTCAGGAGTCTATTCACTGATTTGTACAAAATTCTACATACCTACGTGCCTCTTACTTACATAATAAAATATCACTTAATACATGTCTGCTATGCTCCTTGTTGAAATGTTAATTAGTGAGTAAAAACACAGAGGTGAAAGAACAAAGTCATGGTTTAATAAATAAGAGTCAAGGAAAATATGAATGCATGAACAATGTATAATAATATATTATCAGAAAATACAACATCTAATCTCAGAGGATGGGCATTCTGTATACTAGTAATGGATTAGAATCAAGTGAGGGACATCTACTTTATTTTCTTCTCTTTTCTTTAAAGATATATTTATGTGTCATGGACGAGCTAAAGAAACTAGGAGTGAAACTATAGGAGTGAAAACAGCAGTGAGCCTGAGGTAGAACATTTGGCAGAGTCACAGCACCTGGTTCGATGCCAGTGATGCCTTTCACAGGCATCACTGCAGTGTGATTCACATGTCTGGACACTTTCAGTCAGAAAAAAGGAGGGAATGACGAAAACAGATACTCTGAAGGCAGTGAAGAAGCCAGCAAAACCAGCCCGCATACGGGAGGGAGGGCTGGTTTTGGCACTACACATCAAAAGGGCTGGAACCTTCTCCTGAAGGAAGGATGAGGGAAGCCTTATCCACACTACTGACACACCGGCGACTGCCACCGAGTGCACTGTCCCCCAAGCCCCCCTGCCAGGCACCGTCTGCAAGGATTATGGTTGGCCCAGGTCGAGACCTGCCAGTGAGAGGGCAATGTATAGTGTATATGTATACATACGCGTGTATCGCTGACCTTGTCATGCTTCCTGACTTGTCTTACACACAGCATTACTCCTTTGGCTCCAACACTGTACTCCAGCCTTTCTTTCTACGAAGCTGAGAAAATTTCCTACCTCTGTACTCTCCCCTCCAGTTTCCAGGCATAGGCTGTTAGCTTCCTTCTTCCCAGCTAGATGAGTCATATTTTTCAAAATTTTAAAATAAAAATCAGTCTCACCTATTCAGCTCGATTTCTCTTTATGACTGACTGTCCTGTCTTCAGAGTTATTACTGTTCTGCCAATCTTCAGATTTCCAGCTACTTTCAAAGTGTAAAATTGCAGCCAATAAATTTAGCAATGAAAAGCTAAATCACATGGGGCTTTACATCCTTCCTCATGAGAACAGCACTGGAAAACCACCTAGTCATTGATAGTTCTTTAGTGACAATCATATATTAAGACCTGCTAGCTAGCTTGTTATTCCCTCAAGTTTGCTGTTCAATTTATGTATTTGTTCATCAGTGGCACGTGGTACTAGGTCAAATGCTTCCCAAAGTCTATTGCATCAACAGTGTCATCTTATCAAACATGTAATTTTAGCAAATACTAAAAGATTAAAATCAAGTTTGTTTTACAAGCCCAACTCTCCATGAAACTATGTTGACTGGAATTAATTTCATTCGTGGCCTCTAATTCTCTACCAACTGTGTCCTCAATCAGCTTTTTCCATATGTTCACTGTGATTTATATCAGCCTATATTTACCCTGCTCAATCTGCTCGTCTGCTCGGATTCTGGGCAGATCATCAGCTCTCTTTCAGTCTTAGGAAATGTACTAAAAATGAAAACCAGCGAACTAGAAATTTCCCCCACCCGCTCTTTTGGAGCTCATAGGTACACTTATCTTCTATAGACCTGCTGATTTAAAAATATGCATTTCCAACACAATTTTTTTAGTATTCCTAAATGGTTACTAAGAAAGCTCTTCAACCTAACCTGATGTATCATGCTTTTTTTCTTTCCGAATGCATCGTCTTACTTGTAAAAATTAAAATCAAGAGTAAACGAAGAAAATGTTTGTGATGTAGCACACGAACCACTGCTATCCCCCTTTGTGTTCTTCAGACTTGTCCCTGTAAGATAAATCAAATGCCCACTTATTTCCTTCGTGGCACCGGCCGACACATCTGCCGTTAGGACAGAAGCCCCTTCACACACGGAGCAGCACTTGCCACGTACTGATGGTGCTCCAGCACAACTGCTTCTCATGCAACTCCAGTATAAATTACTGACCTGCTATGAGAAGGGCTGCATTATGTGTCTGTTCACTTCTGCATCGCTGCTGAGCGGCACTTGTGCAGCCCTCTGACCCCCTCCCAGCTGACACGACCTCGCACGCGGTGGAGGCAGGACTCGTAGGCTCCTATGAGTGCAAGAGGTTCCTACCAAAGCACACGCAGCAAAGGATCAAGTCCCGTAACACCGTTTTATTAGGGCTTTGTTGTGAAGGCTTTATTATTTGTTTATTTATCAGTCTTTTCCACATTTACCAGAAAAGCAACCTGGATCCTGGATCTCGTCTTGTTCACTGCTTTTCTGGTTTGTTTTGTTTACATACTTTCTTCTCTTGAACTACATCCGCTATTTTTCTTTTGAGAGTCTTGAGTGTTGTTCCTCCTTGACTGCAGTAAAATCTTACAGCTGCTGCCTGCATCTTATTGGTAAATTACTATGAGCACTGGGTAGAGCTCCCTCCCCGTGTGTGTCCTCCCCTCTAAAAATA